AATATTTATTTATTAATTTAAAGTTATATTTAATTTAATAAAAATGGTATAATATTAAAATTTTAAAAAAAATAAAATAATTAAATTAAATAAAAAATTATAATGGTAATTTAATAATTTTAAATAAGGAATTTAATATATATTTATTAATTTAATTATAGTTAAAATATTTATTTTTATAAACGGTTTATTTACGAATAATAAAAATTTTAATTTATAAATTAAATATAAAATTATTATTACGAACGAAATAAAAAACGACGAATTATTTATAATAAAAAGTAATATAATATATTAAAACTTAATTAAATGTTAATAAATTATAAAAAGTGTGTTAACGAGTAAAATATATATAATAATTTACGGCGTAAATATAAGATTAATTATTAATATAACGGTAATGTTTATATTTAAATAATTAAATTTTCGATTTTTATAAATAATAATTTATATTAATTTATTTTTGTTATATAAGTATATTGTAAAATTCGGTAATATAAAAGAAAAACGATTTATAATTAATATTATGTTATTTTAATAATTTTACGAATGTTACGAAATTAATAAAATTTAATGGATTTACGACGAAAATAATTTAATTAATACGATAATTAAGTTAAATTTTAATAAAGTTTTAAAAAAATTTATTAATTTTAATTAAATTTAATTATAATTATAAAAATAAGTTAAATAAGTTTACGATAATATTATTAAAAATATTATTAAAAATATTTTTAAATAAAATAACGTAATTATATTTAATTAAAATTATATTATATATGAAATAAAAAGAAAAAAAGTATTATAAAAAGGGTAATAATTAATAATATTAACTTAAAAATAATTAATAAAAAAAAGGAGGAAATTTCGATATATGTACGAATATACGTAATTATACGAGAAAAAAAAAATTATTAATATTAAAATAATAATTACGTGTTTACGTAATACGTGTATTAAAGTTAAAGTTAATAAAGTTGTGTTTTATTTATAATTAAATAAAAAGGATTTTTTTTATAATTTATAAATTGTTTTTTATTTAATTAATTATATAATTAAAATTTAATTAATTAATTGTTTTATTATTATATTTTATTATTATTTAAATATGTATTTATATAAAGATTTTAATATTATTAATTTAATAGTTTTAAATTTTAACGATTTTGCAAATTGCCAAAAAAAAAACTCTAAATAGTAATGCTTTAACTTACAGAAACGCAACTTCTTACCGGCTAGTGGCTTTCGAAATGGTGAAAACGCCGATGATGACAATAGCCAGAGTGACAATGGCGCCGGGCAGTAGTAGCTCGTTAGGCACACCGGCAATAACCTGGTCGGGCTCCGAGTGTGTGTGGGCCCTCTTACGACGTCTAACAGTCGCATAGTCTTCCTCTTCGCTATCCTCATCCTCATCCTCATCTTCTACCACGGTCCGTCTCCTGCGCAGTTCCGAAGGGGCCGAACTAGGAGCCGGTGTAGCGACAGGATCAGGTTGAGGGGCAGTAACCGTAACTGGTGGCTTCTCGGGATCATAGACAAACAGATCAACTTTCTCGTGGTGATGATGGCGAGCTAGCAGGATTGCCTCGAGAAGATCTTGGTCTGTCGTTATGCTGACTGTATCGCCCTCGTCGTCCAAGTAGCTCAGGGCAAAGCCACTAGTACTCAGGTTACCATCTTCTACTTCCGGAATACCACCGATGGCCTCTACTTCGCTGCCAAGCTTCGCGGCCACATGCTCAACAAATTGCGCGATACCTTCATTCGCGACGACTTGTATTCGGTGTACGCGACCGCTTGGGGCCTTGAACTTGAATGCAAAGGGGATATCGGCAGGGGTCTGGTGGGCTACCGCAGAGTGGATCGGAGACGACTCCATGCCTACGTGCGAGGCACTATCGCCAGGCGCAACAGGGTCGTACGAACGTTCACGGTTGACGTCAGGAGACAGAATGGATCGCGACGCCATAGTCCCATGATGATGGCTACCATCGCCAGAAACCATGGATTCTGTCTCATTATCGAGCGAGAGCCAGAATTTGTTCCAGGCGGGGCCTTCACTGTCACCCGACGTTCCCATAGTGTTGATCTGCTCAAGTGTCGCATAAGTCAACTTGAGCACGTCAACCATGCCCACTATCTCGCCCTGGTCATTCATAACCGGGAGGTTAAGGTAATGGCCATCTGCATACTATGTTAGCTCATATCCACTTGTATCTCATAATCTTGAGTTGGCCAAAAACTAACCATGCATCTTTCGCAAAGCAGCCTGGATAGTCATATCCATGGGCGCAAAATCGGGATGAGGCGTCATGACGCGGACAACGCTACACGTAGACGGATCCAAACCAGGAGCGATGACTCGTAGGACTACATCTTTGCTCGTGAAGATGCCCGTAATCTGACCTTGGTCTTGAACCAACACGGCAGTCGTGTGGTTTTCCTTCATCATCATCGCCGCTTCCTTCACGGTCGTTCTAACGCTGACGGTAGTAGGTGGCATCCCATTTAGAACACTCTCCAAGGTCGGGCCGGACATCTTGGAGCGAAGAGCTTCGACATACTGGATGATCTGCTGAGGCTGACTGGTTCCTAGTTCCGACTGGACACCTTCCAAAGCGGCATAGAGCTTTGTTGAGGATGCATAAGCCCGTTCCAGCTTTTCCATAGCATCATAGAAGCATTTCGTAATGTCGAGAATACCAGAGATGTCCTGGTTCTCATCCATAACAGGCAGATGTCTAAAACCTTTGCGAACCATGAGATCCAAGGCCTCGGTAGCGCTAGTATCAGTGCGCGCGCACAAAGGGTTCTTCGTCATAATCTCCGCGATGGTGATACTGCTAGCCTTTTGGCCGGCACCGACGACTCGGAAAGCGAGGTCCTTGGCCGTAAAGATACCGGCGATTCGGTCATCCTCGTCCGTCACCAACACACAGTCTTCCCTCTTGGCGGCCATTAGCTGCGCAGCTTCGGAGACAGTAGTACCGGGCTTGATCTGGAGGGCAGGGCTCGGCTTCAGGGCGAGGACGGTTCCAGGAGGGGCTTTGCGCGAGTGCCGGGCCCGGCCCGTAATGTGATGCTTCTTCTTGGAGAGGTCGTTCTCCAGCTTTCGCCTGATGGCCTAGTGCAAGAGGTCAGCTTCCATATCGTTATAATAGAAAGGCGATACTCATACCTCATCGCGCTTGCTTTGCTTCTGCCTGCTTGCGCTGACACCAGAGGCGACTTCGCTGGGTGCGGGGTGAGGATGAGCTTCGCCAACGGGTCTTGGGATATTGGAATTGGCGGGACTGCCAGGTCCAAATGACGGGGCAGGGGTTCGGTTCCCGCCACGGCTAGGTGTACCTCTCACGGTTCCCGACATGGTAGACAGCTCTTGACGATTTTGGCGGGGGTTAAAGATCGACTTGCAGGCTTGCAGGATGTTTGATAACTGGCGATGTTTTCTGAAGGTGTGCACCCAATAGCAAATAAGGATTTAACAATACTCGAAAAATTCGACTGCGAGCGACGGATGTCAGCCGAGGAACCGAGCCTGTCAAAAGCAATGGCGCAAGCAACAACGTTAACAGCGACAGCGATCGAATGATGTTTGATTACCTGCTGATAACTAGTGAAGATAGAGAACAGAAGAGATAAAGTATCGGTCAGAATATGGCGCTCCTTCGGGAAAAAATTGCGGGTCATTTCAAGTTGACTCGGCGACCTGGAAGACACCTGCCCCGGTCAGGCGAGTTCCGAGTGAGGCTTCCTAGTGGAAAATACAGTAGGTGCCTCCTTAATGAGGTAGAAAACCTAGCCTACCAGCCACACACCTATGGACGTGCCACAATTTGAGGGGGTTGAAGATCGAAGTTTGTACCTAGGTACCTGACATATCTCCCAGGTGCCTCTTAGGTAGTGGGGTTACTGTGGGGTTATCAATCGCTTAGTCGCTTTAAGCCCCTCACTTCCACCATTTCACTTTCAACAATTCGACCTTGTAATATAACCTCTCTGTCCTCATATAGCTGCATACCTCCAAGGTGTATCCCACCTTCGCTCACCCCGCTACCAAGATTTCGACTATTACTATGTAATGTCACAAATCGCGACAATAGCCAACCAACCTATATTGAAGAACGTAATGTTAAATTGAAGGACACTCGTACATACCTAGAAATATTAGGTACATACAGAGCCACCTAATAAAATAGGGGTAGAAAAATAGGGGTAAGTGAAAGCTTATACCACCGTCCAAGCTTTAAACCCTTATATTCAAGCCCCTATAATACGTCATCCCTTGCATTATAGTATTATCATACACAATTCTACACACTTTTACGTCAACAGCGTCAACGGCGTCAACGAGATGATACCTTAGAACCACCATTAGGAAGCTTGGCCTTGAAGAGCGCAAAAGGAGCCACTCTCCTATCTATGCCGGGATACGTAGACGCAGCGAAGTTGAGCTGGTTGACCGTGAAGTATAAGTATCCATCCGTCGCAACTGACACTGCCGCCTAGTTAGGGTGGAGATTCTAAAGTGAATGGACCAGTCTTAACGCTTACTTGTATCTACCCAGTTGATTCTCGGATCTCGTAAGAATGTCAAGACCATTCCATTACTAGGGTTGAACATATTAATGGCATTCCCCTCGTTATTACCAACATATATCAGACCATTGCTATCAGTCTCAAGGCCGTCGCTTAAGCCTTTCTGTCCGTTATTCATCACCGATTGCTGGGCGAGGAGTTCACTAGCTTCTCCTCGTGCACGGAGCTTGGCTGTCGGGGCGCTGTACATGTACCGAGACGCGAGTGGACACCAATACAGCGTCTCTCCGTCGGCAGACAAGGCGATGCCATCAGATCCGATGGAAAGCCCTGAATAAGGCTCTTTGGCCTGGGTGTAGTAACCAGGCTGACCCCAAATGAATGGCAGAAACTGGGACTCGCCCCTCACAGACTTCGTCAGTCCAAGATGCCTCCAGCTCTCGCCTGAGCCGAGGTCTACGATGATGAGCGCGTTGTGACCCGAGGTACTACTATCTGTGATGTATGCAAATCCTTCACCTGAAGAATCAGATAAGTTAGGACGAAGGTCGAAGCGCACGTCGTTCAAATAGCTGTCCCCGTATGCGACAGTACTCGGGAAGACGATTGTCTTGAATACTGTGTTGGTCGTGAGGTTCACTCCGACGAGTTTTGGACCACCGTACATTGCTTCTAAGAGGACGCCATCAGTAGTCTAATAAGAATTCCGTGTTAGCTTAGCAATCCCACGATTCTAGAATTTTACCGCTCTTTTTCGACTAAGGCAAAATGATAGGGTCATCACACTCATCACACTCATCACACTTACTACTGAGCGTTAGCCATTGTATACTTTACCAAGGCAGTTTCAATACTATTTGGGGGGGGAGACGGGGAGCCAGTTGAAAATGACAATACGAAATGTTTTGATAATACCTAAAACTCGCCCAGTGTCCAAAATCCATAGCCGATCTAATGGATCGACAACAACGGATTGAACACCGATCAGATATTGCTGATAGTTTACAGAGGCTCCAAGACTATCAGTTTTGATATCTTTAAGGTGTCATTATGCTTACTTGGTGGTATCGTAGAATAGTTAATCGCTCCTCCTGGTGGTCGATTCATCTCTAGACTCGGATAGGCAACCTCGCTTGTGAGCGTGGTAAGCTCTCCAACAGCGAATACTTCATTGCGACCATTATAAACGTTACTAGGATCGAGCCCTACAGCAAATTCCTCAGAATAGTGTCTACACACACCATGCAAGATACTAACCACCAGGGTAATTGGAAAACATGCGCCCAGTGCTCGAGACCGCAATTCCTGTTATAGAGTTAGCCCCTACTCATTAACCAGAGTCATTAGATTTGATTCAGTTTACCAGTTGGCCATTGTTGGTAATATGCGTGAGCAATCTCAAGCGGTGGCCCATATACCTGTCTAACGTTAATGTTAAAGCACCATTATAGGAGCAGGCTCAGAAGCACAACCAATCCGAGTTCCAACTTACTCCAGGGTCAGAGATAAAACTTATATTCTCCCCGAATACACAGCCAATAAGCAATGTTAATATAAGCTCCATATCTACTTGTCGGAATTGATATAATGTCCGGATGCGCTCCAACGATTTCCAAGACAAAAATCAAAGCAGACGGCCGAGCAGCCATATTTACATTTCAATTTATTATACCTAGGATAAATCCAGGGACTAAGCATCATCGATGTATAAAAATTGTGCTTCATCTCTCCGACTAGCGGGTTTTATTCCAGCGTTAGATATGACGTTCCCAGGCTGTCATTATGAATTGCATCTCCCTAAATATACTGTAATGAAGGGCTCATGAAACTAAGGGCCCCACAAACTGGTAGTTGCATAGAATAAACCGACGTACTTGTCTTGAGTATTTGCTACGTAGTTGGTAGAAGATTACTGGTCCAGTTCTGGTATCCTTGGAGTCCTTCTAGTCGTTGCTTAAGGCAGGATGAACGTGAAAAACTATTGAAGCTAGCTTGTTATAGAGAACTCAAGGAAGATGCTTACAAGGCCATAAATACATAGAGTAGCTCCATATTATTTACCTAAATCTTCTCAAGAACTAAAGAGAGCAGATTCAACCGACTTAAAAGCCGAAGCTCAGATTCACACTACTTAGCTCGGTTAAATATTAAATATGTTTGCATAGAAAGCCTAACACCATGAGGATAATATTTAATAGTTATTTAATAACTTTCAAACAGGATATCTTGGTAAATACCTACCCTAACACCGATGCCCTAGCTTCAAATAACCATCAAATGCCTCGTCATGTCGTGACCCTTAAACGCCCCTTATTTCCGTAATTTTGATTCTCCCCTTTACTAATATCCAGCTCCCTTATATGATTGAGGTCCGCCAAAGTAGGCCGCATCGCCCTTAGTTACTGGTGTATATCTCCTTCGTTTCTGGCAGAAGCTGTTGACGATTGTTAGCATATATTCCGACAAAGATCACGATCTAGTATATTTGAGTAGGGTGTTGGAGCAGATGCTACCAAGATGGAAACTTACAAGATACCAGCAATGATTGCCGCGATCAGGGGCACACAGACCCCAACGCAAACTCCGATGATGATTCTCTTGTCAACACCGTTCACTTCGCCGAGCGGATGATCGCTGGAAACAGTAGGATCTCCCGAGGCAGTTGGTGGTGGCGCCACATAAGACACAGGGGATCCAGTCGTGGCTTCAACGCTCTTCGCATTGGTGCCGAAGGGAACAAGAGTGGCAGCGCTAGCCCCGGTAGTCTCGGGGAACGTAGCTTCGGAATCTGAAGGCACTGCTGTGATGTGTGTCAAAGTACTCGTCACTTTCGTAGTAGTTTGCAAAGCTGGCGGACAGTTGACCAAGCCTGTGGTCAGACAGCCTACGCCAGTATAAGTAACCTTTTTACTGAGCGTAGTTGTTTCTAGTTCTTCATCAGCCCTAGCGCTGATTGCAGGAATAGAAGCAGTGGTAGTTTGAGTGCGGCCCTGGATAGCACAGATATCGGCTATGGTCGTCGTGTATATGGGGATATTGGTCTACAACATTGTTCCAAGTTAGCATATTTCAAGTTCTAAGTTGGGTTGGTTGGTCCGGGATATGATAGATAGCAACTTACGTTAGGAGCTGGTCCCCATGTCTCTACTCCAATAGCGAGCGTAGCACCAGCAGCAGCCCCAAGACCGAACTGGTACGACTGCTCAACCTTCAACGAACAGTCTTCATCGTCACCTTCGGGGGCTGCGGTAATGTTTGTCGCAAACTCGGCGATATTAGCCCACACACTAACACCTACACCAGCGCTCGCCTTCGTCGTGAACGAGGAACTTGGAATCACCACAGAAGGAGTCGAGAGTTCAAATCCTGCATTCACTCCAATACGAAGCACGGCCTTGAGAAGGCCGCCTGCACTTTCAACTGTTACTGGGAGGAACTCAAAGTTGGCTCCATTACTAAAATCTTGGAATTAGCAATGCCGAGCTGGCTTATATAGTGGAAAGGGGTGATTTGCTTACAAAGTAATGCTTGAGACATTTTGTCCAAACAAAGCCATATCAAGACCAACACCATCTTCTAACTTGATATGGATCCCGCTGCTAATATCGATCTCGGTGTCTACACTCAGGATCAAGTCGACGGAGAAAACAACACCTATAAATAAGTCGTTGCTTGCCGAGATTCCGATGGGTGTTTTCGACGAGTAAAGATTTAAGTTGTAAGTTGCGCCCGCCGATAACACCGTATCGATGAGCATGTATAGCTCTAAGTCATCAAACTTGAACTGGAGGCGACACTCGGGGATATCCGGGACGTCAACGTTAAAAGATATATTTATCGGAGGGAAGTCAAAGTCGTCCAGGTCTATGCCGTCTTCGAGGTTATGGAAAACAGTTGGAAAGTAGTCTTCGATATAGTCGATGACTTGGTCAGTAGTATTCAAGATTTCGTCTCCAACTTCGCTTGTGAAGTTCTTAAATGCTTGCGTCACATTGAAGTCTCCATCAATGCTAAACTCCGCTGTGGCGTTTCCCTTGATATAACATGTTGTACATGTTATGTCTACCCCACCGCTTATCGTGGCATTGTTTTCGGTGTTTGTCTGGGCAGCGCTGGACTCAAGGTTAGGTAACGAAGTGATATAATCAAGTAGCTCTGCTCACATGCTAAGTAGAGTTGCACCGTTCCAGCTTTTGCTTAAAGCTGTACTATTCTTCAGTACCGTATCTCTCCCTTGAAGTTTTATTTCCGCAAGAGACCGTCGAAGGGCACGAAGGGTATCTGCGGATGAAGAGCCTGGGGCGTCTCGCACATCGACCAGAATATCCGATGGTGAAATAGAAGCTGATGCAGAGCTAAAGGCCGCAGCCCAGCCAAACATAAGGAGCGGCTTCACGAACATGTTGTTGGTACGGAAGTCCTAGGAGATACGGGGTATAATTGCTATGACGAAGGAAATACGATCACGTACACTCTCACGAGATTACCCCGTTCATATTTATCCCAACTTCCTCAGCTCCCCGATGAACCAAGTCTCGGGGAGCCTTGTGGGTTAATCGGGAAGAGGAATCTCAACCATGTCTTCCACGGCACCCTGCATGTGTCAACGGGGCGGAGTTTTGAATTTTAGTTACAGATAAGAAATTGGAACATATTTTGGGGTCCCGAGCAAGGAAACGATTCCTATAGCCTCGTGGGGAATACCACATGGGTTACCGAAAATAGGTCGATGAAACCTTACAAAACCATTTGCCAGGGGTGTTCAAAACTAGTTCCCGTTTCCGACCCGAAGCTGGAACCAACGACCCCGACTTTTCGAGCCGAGACGACACTGAATTTACATTTGCGCATGCCAACAAGAGGAAGGTAATCCTATACCAAGCACATCTAGAATTTACCCCTAGGTACCTACGTATACTTCACAACTAGGTATAGCGTATGATTGTCTAACCCTTGCGACTCTATCCTCTGTAGTGATAGCAATGGTTCAATTGCGTTTTGATAAGTCGTAGAAGGTCCTCCGAAACACGACCAGTAGATAAAATATTGGCTTCAGCTGCAAGCTATAGAAAGAAACATTAGTAACCCCAAACTCTACACATTGAGTCTAAAGACACCAATTGACAACATTGGAAGAGAGTATCGAGTCTACTTCCAAGTTGCAAGTGATCGCTAAACAATAAGGTTATTTTCTATTTTTAAGCTGAATAGGAGGTAGTAATAGCGTGTTCATCGCGACTTAAAGAGGCGCCAGACGCGAAATCCTTGTCCGCTTTAGGGAATCATTGCCGGGTTTGAAGGATTTAGGCGCTGTGGTCTCAGCCAGCAGATGATCATAACGTATCATCCCGGGGTACACCCGCTCTTTCAGTCAACCCACGCGTTATTAAACACGTGTAGGTACTGAAATAGTAGTGTATTAGGAAAGGTTCCAATACTCCACTTTCAAGTGGTGGAAATGTTATATATGCCCTCATTACCATTGCCCTACAAAAAGGTCCGTACGTGTGAGAATAATGTCACTCGGATTTGGCTTGCAGGTTCTAGGACGTCCGGTTGTCTTTGAAACGTAATGGTCTCCGGCCACCTGATTAGGGGGGTGCCATTGGTTCAAGCCATTAGATAAGAGCTGTTGAATACTAAATGAATGCTCTTATAAGCCACAGCTATACTGTCTGAGTATCACGGGACCATTCCAAGATATTGTAGGTTCAGGTACCTATGCATGTCAGGTCCTTCTACACGGCGAGGTTATTTTCCCGTGGATTAGGTATCTACCTCATAAAAGCATTCTAAACAAGTTTAGTCAAGCGTTTTTGGATATCGTTCCAAAACTTCCTCCCGCCTAGTTCTCAAGTTTCAGAGTACCATAACCCGACCTTGATGAATTCATCCTCTTTCCCATTTGGTAGCACTAAGAGACCGATCATCATCTCCGGATCAGTTACATACTTGTCTTCTACTGGACTCCAATGATAGAATAGCTTGTCGATGCTACTAGACGAGATCAAGACCATCCATAACTGACCGATCGGGTCTTCTGGAACCCCTTCCATTCCATATGTAAGCCAGTCTAAGTGGAGAAAAGCAAAATATTCATCTTTTTCTGATCACAGCTTGTAGTGAAAATTCACCTGGAGCCATCACCGCTCAGAATCTGGCGCTTTGATTATCCTCCCTTCGCCCTTACTAAAGGGAAATTGGAAAGCTTTGGTACAAAGTTCGAGAGTTGCGCTTAACACGCGTCCGTATGGATTCAGATTCTCCGTGACGACTATAGCGTCCCCAAGTTCAAATTCAGGCGAAAAGGGATTGCCTGGTTTAAATCCGCTCACCCAAACAAGACCATTAGTATGATGTGCCCAGCTCCAAGTAGGCGCGGTATATCTTCCTTTGAGATAATGAGGCATAATTCAGTACAAGACTCCAAACCAACATCTAGAAGGCGCGTAGGGTAATATTTATCTTTGATTGGTTCAGGTACTTCTGAAAGGGATTCAGCAACCTCAGCCTCAGCAGCTTATAACTACAATTTTATAATCAACTATCCGCAAAGTAGACAGGTATAACTCCTGCCCCTGAATAGGAAAAAGCGTTTCCTATTGATACAACCATAGAAATTATGAGGTTTCAACAACGATAGTTTTACTAATTAAGAATGAGAACGAATAGATCCAATGCGCGAACTACGCCTTGATAAGAATGTTTATGTACCTCGTAAGTTACCGGTTCAGGAGGTATGTAAATAGACTCTCTAAACCAATAAGTCCGATATAGTCAATAAGGGGTAAAAGTGATATGATCAGGGGTTGCTCGTATAAAGGATCCACATATTAAATGGGAAACAAACAAGAGCCTGGACAAGATGTACAATGGAAACAATCCGGTTGACCGCCTCTAACCAATGAAAGGTGAGTAGGTATTATGTGGACTCCCCTGCGACGATCATGTGGAGCCGCTCCGGTCGGTTCTCTCGCCCCGGATTCCTGTTTCGGCTCCACAAAGGAGACATTTCGGAGCGGCATTCGGTACATGTAGGTGGGTTAGTATTGAAGCCGTTAAAGTCCCTATAGGCTCAAAGAGCCTATGATTAAGCTCTTTTTGATAACAACCTATCCAATGGGGCCGAACACGGAGCATTATGCCGATTATTGCAGCGGTATGTGCTGTTTCTCGTGCTCTTCATATGATTTATTTTCCTTTAGTTATTAGACTTGCCAATTGGTTGTTCAAAGTAAGGTCTTTTTTTTCTATTGTTTTTAACTTGTTCTACTTTAGCACCATTCGTTCTAAACCGCAATAATGACTAGCCTAGAACACGGCGACCAATTTGATGAAAAACAACCTCCAGTATCGCTCACAGCTCAAGAAGAGAGCACTTTAAATACATCTTCTCACGATGATGTTCACCTCGCTCAGCAACATGGAACTAAAGATGACATTGAGGCTGCGCAAAGAACTGAAACGAGAGATAAGCGCACGAAGATCTCCTTGGATCTAAGAAGAACCGCTAGCAATGTACTTACACATGCGGCCTCGCACCTTACTACGAGGTCATGGCCAGAGCCACCCCCTCCTCCTGACGGCGGTACAACGGCATGGGTGCAGGTCGCAAGTACGCAGATCTCAGAATATATAAAAGATGATTTCACTAACTGGGCACAGTGGGATGGCTCGTGATCTTCACAACTTGGGGATGGGTTAACTCCTTTGGTAGCTTCCAGACTTACTACACATCAACGCTACCGCAGTCTCCATCAACTATATCTTGGATTGGGTCCGTGCAAATATGGTTTTGCTTGGTGATCAGCGTATTCTCCGGACGTCTACTAGACGCCGGTCTATTCATTCCGACCTTCTTAGTCGGCGCAGTGATCCAAGTGCTTGGAATCTTCTTAATGAGCATCTCGACTCAGTACTGGTCGCTGATGCTAACTCAAGGCGTACTAACGGGCATAGGAGCAGGGATCTTCTTCACACCATCCCTTGCTCTTGTCGCGACCTATTTTAAGAAGAGGCGTGCCCTTGCAGTCGGACTTGCGACGACGGGAAACTCAGCTGGTGGTATTATTTACCCGGTTGTCGTCAGACAGTTGATTCCAACGCTGGGGTTTGCTTGGACAACAAGAGTACTGGCTTTTATCAACCTCGGTTGTCTCTCCGTTGTGCTTATATTTATGCGTCCACGCCTGCCTCCCAGGCGATCCGGGCCCGTAATCGATTTTGCGGCTTTTCGTGATTTTGCGTACAATGGCGTCGTAGCTGGCATCTTCTCACTGATGATGGCTAACTATTTCTCTTTCTATTACGTGAGTTTTACATGAAGCATCGGATGCCTCCTCAAAGCTTCCCTGCTAACAGATTGATCTAGATTGCCTCATTTGGCAGAGAAGCTCTTGGCCTCTCATATTCAACCGCTTCGATCATGGTCATCCTTATTAACGGGGCAGGAATCATCTTCCGAGTTATACCTCCGATAATTGCCGATCGGGTTGGTCCAATTAACGTAATGGTTCCTGTTACACTCGCATGGGCGATCGTGGCGTTCTGTTGGCTTGCAGTGGATAATGTGCCTGGCTTATATGTCTTCGCCTGCTTCTACGGTATATGTGCTGGTAGTTTCCAATGCTTAATAGCTACCGCCGTCAGTAAGTGACTTTGAGCCCTGTTTATTCCTCTTTCCAACCTTCTTCACGCGTCAGAGTTTCCGACTAAGCTTAGGGCGTACCTAAATCACCTACAATTCCTTGATACTAATTTTATTGGTTTCTTAGCCAATATTACCAAAAGACTTGACATGGTTGGAACACGACTCGGGATGGCTTTCAGCATTTCTTCGTTTGCTTCCTTGACAGGACCGCCAATTGGAGGCGCTATCCAAGCAGCCAATGGCGGTAAGTTTGTAGGTGCACAAGTATGGGCAGCAACTATGACTACTATCGGTTTCTTCTTATTTCTTCTTGTGAGGGTGCAAAAAGCTGGATGGAACCCTAAGGTGAGGTTTTGAAGGGGAGGGGAACAGGAATGATCCCATATAATATTTTCTGGTATGGACATTACAAACTGAAATTAGTCTCTTGGATAACCTAAACGCACCGTAGTATGGACGGGTTCCATTAATAGTACCTAGTTAATACAACTATTCGAAGACTTTACGCCTCGTTAAACTGATATTTACTCCCGGGTAACTCAGAGATGTAGTTCTAGTTAAACGAGCAATTTAAGTCATGAATATCATTTGGTTTAAATTCCTAACATACCTAATTTTAGCAAGTAAAACTTTACAGAATCACTGTGGGGGGGGATAGTATCAATCGGGGAAGCCAGTCATATATTGTTATAACATGATGCAATTCTATAATTTACATAGGTACATCTAGGAGGTAGATACCTGTTTACACATGCGAAAGAATGAAATATAGGAAATAGTGAAACACCATCTCCGAATAAATAATCTGCCCATCGACTCAAATCGTGTAAGACTTAAGCCTCCCAGACAACGGGCAAGCCCCTCTTCTCACCTCCAGATTCGGGAGATCCGGTGCAGTAGTCGTCATTCGTATCGCCGCCGATGCAGCCCCTGGAGCACATTTCCTTGAATGAAATATCGCCGCCCTCAAGACAGATAAATAGAGATTGATCAACGGTGTTGTCGTCCGTTGGCATCTTGTTAGCCCGTAGGCTCTCGATGATTTTAGTCCTGTAGTCACCTGTGCCATTCATCATTAGTATTGTATTTCCCCTTTTTGATTGCTTTAGGAATTTGTCTGCCAAAAGCTTGTAAAGTATGGCTTACCCTTCTGTTGAAGATAGGTACCACAATAGATACCTCCACGGTTGCAGTCATCAGCAGTGGTAAAGCCAGCAAGGGCTGTGGCGAAGATAATTGCGACTTGGGCGAGTTGAACCATTTTTAAAGTTTAAAGTATAAGAGTCTTTGAGTTATCAAGGGATATGGAGTATGATAGACTTTTAGGGGTATTGTAGATATGAGATAGTTCTTCTTGTTTGTATGTGTAGAGTGGTGGAAAAAGTAAGTGTTGGAGATGGAAAGACACCTGAATTTATACAAAAGCTTCATGCTATCGATGAGTAGTCTTTTCTTATTATATCGTGTAACTATAGTTCTATCATAAACCTGGCCCCAGTACCACTACAATAGCCGCCGATCCTTCTTCTACTCGGCTTGTGAGAAATATAGCCTCATCTTTCACCTTAGATCCTCCGGCCACTTGCTTTCGATGTCATAGTGACGCTTCTCGCGATAAATTACTAGATGTGATGTTTTATTCAAATATTAATAGAAAGATCTCCAGAGTAGTGTATATCAGTGTGGAGTTACCCTGCCACCTCAGCTTCAGCTCACGATTAGAAACCCCATATTAATGGAACCCACGGCATTATACTAGGTTAGGTATATCCTCAAACGCAAAAAGGAAACAGTGGATTACATTTGACAAGGACACGTTCAATTACATAATAGTTAATAAATGTCCTTAACTAGGTACCTAGGTACCTATCAAATTACTTAGATTTGGGGAGGTAATTCACTGTGTCCTTCTCGAACTTAAGGACATAGTAAATAATATGTAGTAAATAATGTGTAAGTAGTATTAGAATATTCCCTTATACCAGCTATGAAAATTGGCCACTGTGCTTCCATTAATCTGGATTTAAAACGGTGTCGTAACTGGACACTTTCCAATTACTGCTTAGCTAGGAGGCTCCGTATTTGGCTCAAATCGCTTCCATCTTTCTCTTCAGCTTCTTTCACGGCGTCGAGGGCCGTTCGACCTTCAGTGTCTCTCTTTTCTATCTCTGCACCATGTTCCAACAGCATCTTGACTATTCCAACATATCCTTTGCGCGCTGCAATATGCAGCGCCAACTCGGGAATTCTACCTTCTACAACGTCCTTATCCTGCTGCGCACCATGCTCAAGTAGATATCGCACCATAACTCCGTTCCCTCTTCCTGCGGCTGCTGCAAGCGCTCCCGTGTTTTCTAACTTTGCGCCGTGCTGCAGTAAAAGTGCTGCCGCGCTGGTGTCGCTGTAGAAGGCTGCCACAGAAGCCAATGGATATGGAGCAACATCTGGGTCTTGATTTGGATCAGCGCCTTGCTTAAGCAAGAACTCAAGGAAGTTGACCGGTTGCTGACTCTGGCATGCTAGCGCGAGAGGTGTACCGTGTCTATCGAATTGATAATTGATAATTGTAGAGTCTTCTGAGAGAAGGGTAGCGAAGAGGTCGATAGACCCAGAGTAGACAGCAGTGCGGATGGTTTCTTCGTTTAGAGACATGGTGGGGTAGTTTTTTTCTAAAGGAAAGGAAAGAAAATAATAGGGACGTAAGAGTTTAGACTTTTCTGTTGTAGTGTAAATACATAATTGGTATGATGATTACGTTTACAACTGTAACTTTTACTTCTTAGAGAGTTGTTAGTTGAGATGATGCCCACCTAAGGATTTGGCGATCAACACAGCCTCCATAGCCCAACGTTAGTCTAGCTGTCTAGTACATCCAATCATCATCCCAAGCTTGGCTGTTGGCTGATCGCTAACAAGCTAAAAGCGCATAACCAACAAAGCAGCTTGGCGAGGCTGATCTAGAAAGGCCATAGCTGCCGATCAGATAATCAATATACTATTCAGAGAAGTATGATATTCATGAGATCACAAAGCCTTTCTTTAGATGGACATGATTGACTAGTGAGAGGATTAGAGGATTCAGAATAGTCAATATCGACCAGAATAGCTCTTGCGTTAATGAGAGGCTCAGCTTATAGTCTATCAAGTTTAAACCATAAACAGACAATTGGCATGACTTTCGAAGTGTATATAGGAACGGGAACTCTCAAGCTATTCAGCGATTGTAATAGACCACCGAGAACTCATTGCCTTGCAAGCAAGTATCCTTGAAATTATATCTTATCCAGCCACAATATTTCACACCAGCAGTAATATTCACCATGAAGTTCCTCGCTGTATTTGTTACTGGGCTCTCGCTCGCTATCCAAGCCGAAGCTGCATGCCCCACGGTCGACCAGATACGTACTTGGATAAAAAAACAGGGCATCACTCTCGACAAGACCGTTTTCTACACCAGCCCATATAGCACCAACAGGGACGCCATGAACTATGCCAACAAGATCAACGGAAAATTCTGGGGTAACGTATACCCTAATGATCAGTTGTATGAGTGGCTCGGCGAATGTGGCCCGGGCACTGCCCAAGACGACCTTGCTCCTAGAATGTCTGAAGCTCTTGCAAGAGAGACCACGGGCTCGGCATATATATTGTTGAAGAAGGGCACAACCCCCCGGCCCGCATCAGTTTTCAGTATGATTAATGATGCCTAATATACAATACGTTAGTCTTAACTAGTTATAGCTAATTTCTTTGATAGTGGTATACGAATACCCAAACCTTAACGTCAAGGTCTATGCGGTAAATCCAGAGGACTTAGACGAGACGAAAGAGTGGACTCCAGACACAAACTGGAAGCGAGCGGTTTCGTTCGGCGATGTCCCGGTGTTAGGATAAACACGGTAGGACTAAGATGTTGGGATACTTCCCTCCATCGGTGACGGGTCGTGTAAGAGTATTTCGGATTTAAATATATCGGCGTTGTCCTGTCTTCACGCTTGGGGTCGTTTCTAGGTATTTGCTATAGTAACGGTTAGCTGTTAAACTCAATTATGATTATCTTTTTGTTAAACCCTTATGATATTTCTTATGGATTTCCTACGAGGTAAACATATTTACATGTCGTTATTATATAGATTTAACGTTTGCTACATTCGGGGTTATAAGGAGATAACTAATCCCTCTTTTTTTTTTTCATCTTGTGCTATTTGTGAATGCAGGTACAACTAGGTGAGACATGACGTATAGAAACACTCAGCCACTAGTACATTGTTTGCGGTCTTAAGAGCGGAGTATAGGCTAGATACGGTTTCTTCAGGCGTAACTATTGCTCAGTAGTGATTTATTTAGCTTAAAGTGGCGTAAGCTTGGCTCTATATAGTGGTGATTGTACGAGACGGACATGCATGGCGATGTCGATCACCCTATATATATGCATAATATCCTTTCCACAGCATGAGCCAGGTCATCTTTGTACCTACCTCGTGATCATAGTATTAAATATGCAGCCTCTCCATTGGTCTACCCCCGTACAACCGAGATAGCTGTCTATTCAAGTTTGGTATTACTCCAATCCATATCCCAACCTGCTACGCGCGTGACCTCGAAGTCAAGTTACTCAGCGGCAATGCGGGGAATATTACCTTGGGGTAACCTAACGTCAATAATATATCTCGAATATTCCCAAAAATGAGACCTTATGTTGTTCTGTCGTATTTCTGTCATGAACGATATATGACATACTACGCTGTATTAGCTCAAAGTCAATATGGGCCTATACCAAAAGCTACCGGCGGATATTAAGGAGGTGGATATAATCATCGCTGGAGGTAAGGAATATATATATATAAAGTAATTACTGTTAATTAAACCTGCTAACGGATTATCGTATAAAGGTGGGACAGCTGGGTGTATCGTAGCCGGACGGTTGACCGAAGCCGATCCAGGGCTCTCGATTCTAGTCATTGAGGGCGGCCAGGAGAACTATGATAACCCTAAAGTAGTAACGCCAGCACTTTATCCCTTGAATTTCCAACCAGATTCCGAAACGGCAATTTTCTACAAGTCCGCTAAGTCAAAATATATTGCCAATCGGGAATATATCGTCCCCTCAGGGGGTACCCTAGGCGGAGGTTCCTCCATGAATTTCTTGATGTATGTTAATAGGTAAATGCAACGTAGAAAACCAAACATAACTTACTGGAACCTTCTCCAAATTAGGTACACGCGAGCTCAACGCGATGACTACGATTCGTGGAATACCCCCGGTTGGACAACGGACGAACTGTGGCCATACCTGAAGAAGGTACCTATAGTCACCCATATCTCACGTGTCTAATAGTCCTGTTAACACTACTACTTAAGATAGAAACTTACCACGGGCCGGGAAACCCAGAACATCATGGCTTTAGCGGTCCAATCCAAGTATCCGATGGACCTTACCGCGGTAAGTCTATAGAGGACGACTGGCTGCGCGCCGCAGAACAGGTCGGGTATCCGGAGATAAAAGATCTCCAATCACTAGATACTAACAACGGCTTTCAACGCTGGCTCAAATACGCCACTCCCGAAGGGAAGCGTTCGGACGTCGCTCGGGGGTATATACATCCTCGGCTACGGGATGGTAAACATCCTAACCTACACGTTCTGGTAGAGAACAACGTAGTGCGTGTTCTGGTTGACGAGAATAAAAGAGCCTACGGAGTGGAATTCACACCCAACACACGATTCCAGGCTCAAGTAAACGGCTCAGCATCACATCCCAAACAGACAATCCGAGCCCGAAAGCTCGTTGTCGTTTCATGTGGCGCCTGCGGTACGCCTCCCGTACTGGAACGTTCCGGAATCGGCTCCAGGGAAATACTAGACCGAGCCGGCGTTCCTGTTGTCCAAGAGCTTCCTGGGGTCGGTTCTGGCTACCAGGACCATCTAAAAATACCTATCGTATTTAAGACATCTCTATCCCAGGACGAAACAGCTGACGCTCTGCTGAGTGGACGGCTGTCTCTCGAAGACGCAATCGCCCAGGAACACCCGCATCTCGGGTGGAATTTCGCAGATCTTGCCTCTAAGATCAGGCCGACAGATGCTGAAGCCGTAGCTTTAGGGCCTGAGTTCCAGGCTTCGTGGGAAAGAGACTTCAAAAACCGCCCTAATAGACCACTTATAGTGATGGTTGTCGTTAGCGGGCAAGTACCTATCGTCCACATCCCTCGAGTAGTGGGCAAGGAATCATAGAATGCTAACACGTAGCGCTTAGATTATATGGGGACAACGCTTCAGTATTGCCCACTGGTCAATTCGTGAGCCTCTTGCCCTTCACAGCCTACTCCTATTCGCGAGGTCATATGCACATCACAGGCCCCGAAGTTGGCGATGCGCTCGATTTCAACACGGGTTTCTTTAACGACAAAGACGACATAGACCTTAAGAAGTTAATTTGGTCGTACAAGAAGGGCCGCGAAATCATGAGGCGGACATCTATGTATCGTGGTGAACATCAGCCCTGCCACCCGCGGTTCCCCAAGGGCTCCAAGGCAGCCCTCATTGAGGAGTGGAATCAACCCGCTGAAGGAGGCCCGGTCGTCGACCTGGAGTATTCGGTAGAGGATGATGCGGCGATCGAGAAGTATATCCGGGAGCACGTCGAAACTTCCTGGCACTCGCTGGGCACGGCTAAGATGGCGCCGCAGGATAAGATGGGCGTCGTGGACAAGAACCTAAACGTGTACGGTGTGCGAGGGCTTAAAGTGGTGGATATGAGTATCGCACCAGAGAATGTCGGCGCAAATACCGCTAATACTGCGATGATGATCGGGGAGAAAGCAGCAGATATTATTGCTAAGGAACTCGGATTAGTTCTTAAGTAATGTAAGTGTATGCTAATGCTGCTCCCGACATCTTGGAGGAATCCGGTAGGACGATGAACGGGATCTTGGAATTGATAAATTTGTAAATTGGTTGTTATTCGTATCGGCATGGGAGGGCCGGCTCTACTCGGGATCGGACATCTTTCCGCTTGGTGGCGGAGATATCTTGTACAGTATATACAATAAGCTAACCTAATGATTACGCTCACTTGAATCGGGTTTAATTCGTCTAGTATTGTATTCGAGAAGACGTCATAAAAGACCGAACTTGGCAAATGGTGAATAGCCAAGCAACATTATAGTTAAACCATTTCCTACATTTGTGTTGCGTGATATAATAAAGCAATAAAGCCTCTCGGCGTGCATGGAAAAGGCAGGCTATTCATGCGAAGTAAATAGAAAGAGCTCAGGGGCCTCAAGAGCTGATAGGTTAGGTAAATTGCTCTGCTGATCATCGTCAAATTTATCGACAGGCGGAAAGGCCTCTGATTCGAATCGATCAGTCCGAAGAGAAGAATTGCGGCTACCTGAAATGCTTACCAGTTCTAAAATTACGCACATGTGTTGTCGCTACAGAGTGAATATCATTAGTCGTGCTTATTGCGCTTGGCTCTTTTCGACGTAGCGGAATCGGAAAAGTGAATACGATGCTTACCAGAACTTCCAGAACACGAGCTGATTTTGCACCTAAGGCCAGCTGAGGGTCCCCTTCTGAGGCTCCACGACGCCGTACACACATACAGTTTGCTTGCAGAATAACGGATAGGTACATCCTAAATGACGGGTCGGCGATCTCCTTCCAAGACTCGGCAGTGGAACGACAAGGGATCAGATAGAATAGGCTATCAATGCAGCACGGGTAAGCCTCTTTGCCATGACATATTTCGTTGACATATTTCGTAGATATATCATGGCGTTATCCGACAATTTTCTTTGTCCCTTTCTATTCTCAGCCAACCCGATAACCCAACCGCCAAGTACGCCAAGATGAAGTCATTCTTGACCTTGGCAGCAATTGCTGGCTTCCTTAGTGAACCCGCCTTTGGCGCACCTTCATTCGCAAGACGGCAAAACTCGACTAACTGGGCTTCTCAGGAATGGGATGCTATAGTCGTCGGTGCTGGAACAGCTGGGATCATCGTAGCTGATAGGTTGAGTGAAGCTGGGAAGAAGACTCTCTTACTAGAGCTTGGTGGTGCCTCGTACGGAGTTACGGGAAGCACAGAAAGACCGGCATGGCTCGATGGGACATCGCTAAGCCGCGTTGATGTACCTGGATTATGTGAGTATATACAGTATATACATACACACTTATGGTATCCAATTGCCCAGCTAATAAGTTGAATAGACACGAGTATATTTGGTGGAAACACAGATCTCCTGTGTCCTCCGGGTGTCGTGAACTCTTTCCAAGCATGCACTATTGGTGGGAATAGTGCCATCAATGCTGGCCTGTACTTCCAACCTCCCGCCTCTGACTGGGATGATTATCATCCAGAGGGATGGAAGAGCGCCGACGTCGAGGATGCGACGCGGAGACTACTAGACATGCAACCTTCGATAACGAGCTACTCAACAGACGGCAAGTTCTACATGCAAAGCGGCTATGAAGCAGCAAAGAAATGGCTCGTTGACGGAGCTGGGTTGTCCGATGTGATGTTCAATGAAACTCCAGATGATAAGGACATGGTCTTCGGGCGACCAGCTTACAACTACATTGATGGTCAACGAGGTGGCCCAACTAGGACATACTTACAAAACGCCCTAAAGAGAAGTAACTTCCGCCTCCAGACGGGTGTTCACGTTAAACGCATCAACCATATCAACGGCATAGCTTCCGGAGTCACCGCCGAAGTTGATGGATCGTTATTAGAAATTCACATTTCTCCCTGTGGCCGAGTGATTCTAAGCGGAGGCGCTATTGCTTCCCCGGGTCTGCTAATGCATTCCGGTATTGGTCCGCTCGAGACACTTATGAACATGGCCGCATCTGGGTTCCTAACGCTGAACTCCACAAGTTGGGTTCCTAGCCCATCAGTCGGCGAGGGTCTTTTCGACAACCCCAACACCTTCATCGAACTTACCGGACCAGAAATCGAGTCGTACACTCCCGACTACAACAACCCCATCCCTGCGGATAGAGATCTTTACTTATCATCACGCAGTGGTCCCTACGCTTCCGCGGGTCAGACTTCTGCTTTCTGGGCGTACATGCCTAATCCCGACGGCACCAAGACGGGAGTCCAAGGTACGATCGGCTCGTCTGGCTACGGAGAATATGTGGACAATAAGACCATCACGCTCAACATCTATGGTACCTCGGGTCTATATTCGGCGGGACGTGTTGTCCTGTCGGACGACGGAAACTTCGTACCAGGTCCCAGTTCTGGTATCCTTTACAGCGACCCTCGTGACGGCGAGATCATCGCAAAGTTTATCCATACCATATTCCAAGCTCTGCCACCTTCAACTCCCGATTCGCCGGCTACCGATGGTCTCACTCCGCTTAACATTCATCAGAATTGGACCCAAGAGGAGATCCGTACTTATATCACCACGTGGTCTCCCTACGCAGTCGGCTCTGTCCAGCATTGGTCTAGCTCATGCAGGATTGGGAAGTGTGTAGATGCGGATACGAAGGTCATTGGCACCGATAACATCTATGTCGTCGATGCGTCTATTATCTCACCGCTGACTGTCAACCCTCAATTCGGTGTGATGGTTGCGGGAGAGAAGGGCGCGGAGAGGATACTGGAAACCTGGCAGTAAGTTAGGATGGGTACTATTGTTTAGATATCTAGCTTCATGCATCGAACGGCGTTTATCTTATACCATGGATGATAGTAGACGGAGCGTATGATTACACTTTATGATAATATATTGATTGTATCATCTGTGCTTTCAGAACATTAAGTAGTCTACCACTGGGAATTCAAAGGTAGAATAAGCAACTCGGACGTCTTACCTCGAAGTTGTTATTGATGTTATATTTTCTCCCCTCGCCTGATCGTTAGATTTTCCAGTCCGACTGGGAGATAGTCCACTTCGAAGAAAGGGACGAGCGGTTCTCTGCCGTAGGTGCCTTATGCTGGTGCGATTATCACCAACCGTTTCCCCAACCCCATCACTCTCTCGGTCAACGTCGTCATAAAGAATGGGAGTAGACGCTGGTGGGGGTTCGGTCGTCTCGTCAAAGAGTGTAATCGGATGAACCACAAGTTCATCAGTCCCGAAACAGTCCCAAAAGCTCTCCGTTGACAGTCCCGGTAATCTAGATAATAAGCGCGATATATTATTACGGCGAAAAGATTGCTTTCGCTATAAGTTGTGATGAGATTAGGACACTTTTTGCTATCTAACATGGCAGCTTTTCTACTAAATCTTCATCTTCTCTGTTTGTGATACGTGGCCTACGCCAGTAACAAGGCTTTGGGATAGGAGCCTGGTATATAGACTCTCGTGTTCTCATACCACAGTAGACGCGAATATACGCTTCGGTATCGGGAAGAGGGAGGAAGGTAACATACGTTTAAACCTTCATGCGGCGCCAGCACATGTTCGTCTACCACATAGCGCCGGAAGTTCGCTCTAAGCCGTTCCTCGTTATTGCTCTCTTATTGGTGGCTATCGAGCGCTGTAGTGGGCCACGACCGTAGGGCTAGACTAGGTCGTATGTATTTGAAGTCGCCCACAGCAAAAACATTTAGAATATAGGTATATTTAGCTTGACTACTTTCAAGGTCGGATGGTGTAGTTGGTTATCACGTCAGTCTAACACACTGAAGGTCCCCAGTTCGAGCCTGGGTTCGATCATTCAACCATCCATCTCATGATGGATTTCTTTTTTTATGTTTTTTTTCCTTCCACCATGTTAATGATGGGATTATAATAGGTGAGCTATTCATTCGCATCATCCTTGATAGTAGCAGCAGCCACAGTTATGGGCTACACCTCTTTTACTCACCCAAGCTTTCTCTGTCCAATTATCATACCAATTCCTCTTTAGAAGTGTCTCGCCGCGCTCCCGCATCCTTGCGTCGGGACGGCATACCCTGTAGATCATACCCTCTCTCGCAGATGTGAATCCGAGTACGACAACGCATATACATACGTGCATAATAAGGCTCTCATGGAACTAACGTACCAAAACGGATACCGCGGAAGGCGGAGCGCAGGGTTAAATATGCCTATAATTAAGAGACTGTCCTACTTACTATTCAGCGTATAAATTTAATTATATTGTCCGTGGAAATCGCACGTGAGTTACCGTACCGAGACGATCATGAGCTCCTTCGACGACGCAGTAGAGCCGTTCCGGATCGCGGTACCGGACCAGACTATCGAGACGCTGAAGGCCAAGTTAGCGTTGACGACGTTCCCGCGAGAGACCAGTTTCTCGAATGACGGCGATTACGGCGCGCGGCTAGACGATGTGAAGAGGCTAGCAACAGCATGGAGGGACACGTTTGACTGGAGAGAGGCCGAGGCAAAGCTTAACGATACGTTGCCGCAGTTTACGACTAGGATCGGGGTTGATGGCCACGAGGACGATTTGAAAGTCCACTTTGTGCATGCAAAGAGCGAGAGGAAAGATGCGATCCCGTTGTTGTTTTGTCACGGATGTAAGCCTCTTTTACCCCGCTACTTTCAACCTCTGCGGCTCAGCCATTTTCGGGTATGGGTCGTGGGAATGGTAACCGTTTTTTGGAGAGTTCGGCTGAGTACCTAATAACTGGTAAACAGGGCCCGGCAGCTTCATGGAAGTCATCAAGATACTGCCGCTCTTAACGGCCGGGGCCGGAGAAGACGAGCCAGCTTTCCACGTCGTAGCGCCGTCGTTGCCCAACTTTGGCTTCTCGCAGGCTACCTCGAAGCCCGGATTCGGGATCCCGCAACACGCCGAGGTGTGCGTACGTAGCCATAAAGCTCCCCCTTTCCTTTCCTTTCAGCTCTCCTTGGCAAAATAATCCTAAAAAATATATATAACAAATATAACCCCAAGATATATATATATAACGTAAGTGGCCAGTATGTATCTAACTCCAACCATCACAGCACAAACTCATGCTCCGGCTCGGATACGACAAATACGTAACACAGGGCGGCGACTGGGGCTACATGATCACGCGCGCCATGAGCGCAAAGTACCCAACGCACGTACTCGCCTCGCACCTAAACTTCATCCTCGCCTCTCCGCCCAGCCCGCTCTCCTCGCCCCTGCTCTGCCTGCAATACGCCTTCGGCCTATACACGGCCGCCGAGAAGGCCGGGCTAGCACGCACCCGGTGGTTCCAAGCGAGCGGCAGCGGGTACGCGCGCATCCAGGGCAGCAAGCCGCACACGCCGGGCTTCGCGCTGGCCGACAGCCCCGTCGGCCTGCTCGCCTGGATATACGAGAAGCTGGTCGACTGGACCGACTCGTACCCCTGGACCGACGACGAGGTGCTCACGTGGGTCAGCATCTACGCCTTCAGCGAGGCGGGCGCAGATGCTAGTCTAAGGCTATACTACGAAGCGATGCATCGGAAAGATATAGCTTCGGTAGGAAGCGAGATTGAGTCTTTCCAGGCGTGGAATGGGAAAGTCCCGTTGGGATTATCATATTTCCCTATGGACGTGGCGGTGCTGCCTAGTTCGTGGGGGAGGAGGTGTAAGTTAACTCTTAGATTTTCTTATATCTGCTTGTTTGGTACCTAAGTTATTAACTGACTGCTGTAGTGGGACCGGTGGTATTTGAGAAGAGACATGAGCATGGGGGTCACTTTGCTTCGTTCGAGAAGCCTGATGAGCTGGTCGCCGATCTCCGAACGATGTTTGGGAAGAGCGGGATTAGAGCGAAGCTACTATTCTGAGACTGACCAGATAGTCTAGATTAAGGATTAGTTAAATAAATCACCTATCATCCTTCTTCTAGCGAACACCGGTTCACATTCACCGAAATAAAAGATCAAATTATGCAGGTATTAGTAATGCAAATCACGATGTGCGTTGGCCAATATCAAGTCGCATCTGGCGCCGCAATCATTCTGTATAAAGTTTTACCTGATAGAAACCAGCGGTGACGCCTGGAGTCAAAACCTGAGTGTAAAGTGCAAAGAAGAATTCATCGCGGAACGACTAAAAGCCACCGAAACGCCAAGCCAAGATGATACTATGGTTCATCCTTCCCTTCCCTTCCCTTCCTAAACCAGTCCATACCACAGAACCATCGTCCGAACCGATAACTCCATTTCCTCACTAGGGATAAATTAACCAGTTCATCGTAGTATCGTAGACAGGTAAAGCCTCCTTCACTGTCCCGCATCATTAGTCGGTCTCTTGCGCTTCTGGCCGGCGGCGGCAGTTTCACCCGTATCCGCATCAGTAGAAGTAGTAGCTCCGGGTTTCGTCTGCGCAAACACGGTACGCGGGACACGCCGTCCTCGAGATCTGCCGGCGGCAGGAGGCATATTCTATTTGTCGTCCTTACCAGGCATCACCTTGGCGGCCTGAACAGCATGCACCTTGGATATCCAGTTAGCTGAAGGCTGCACCTTGCGCACAGTTCGTAACTCGTCCGACGTGTATCCAGGAATGCGGATATTGTAAACTCGCTCGAGAACAAGCTGAATGTCCCGGATTTCGAGCACCTTACTGCCTCGTTCCTTGGCCAGACGACAAGCTGTGTGTAGGACGTTGTCGACAAAATTATCGGCAACGCTAAGGACGGACTAGAATGTATCCGTTAGTATAAGAGGCCGATAGGGAACGGAGGAATGTGCGCTACTATTGATTGCGATAAACTTACCTCTTCAACATCGGGGGTTAGGTAGTTGCCGTCAGCACCGGGGGAACCGCCACCGCAAACCTGGCGAACCAGTTCGTCGAGCTTCTTCTTGGACAGCACGTGTTCGCCTTCGGCATCGAACTGGGGAGGGGGCATTTTAGAAATAACGGGCTGGCTCATAGTTCCACCCCCGGTTGCACTACCACCACCGTACGATGGACGGCCGGCAGTGTTGCCTCCACCGATGTTGACGGCCTGTGGAATCTCCGTCGCTTTGGGTGGCAGGTTCTTACTGATAGGCATCTTGGGATTCATCGCAGGAGTGGTGGATTGTGGGTGTGCGTGAGAGTGAGCAGGATGATTCGCGTTACTAACTAAGCCAGCAGACCCAGGTGTTGATGCAACACCGCCGGATGAGTTAGTCGCTTGACCGGTGATATTAGTCGACGAATTGGCACGGTTAACTGCAGCGGCATGAGTTAGTGGACGGACTTGGGATCCCGTCACTTGCCCTGCAGATTGGGGAGTCTGGACACGCGCTGAGGCTTGGGTTGGTGTTCCCGCGGAAGGCATGTGCGCCGAAGCGGTAGCGGCAGCAAGAGCAGTGTTAACCGGTGGCGGATGCGGCATGTTGTTGGAAGGTTCACTCTTAATTTGAGGTTGATTGGTAGGCGCGGGATGCGACTGAGATTGCTGCTGCAGCTGCTGCTGGAGTTGTTGTTGGTGTTGCTGCTGGTGTTGCTGCTGGTGTTGCTGCTGCTGCTGGTGTTGTTGTTGTTGTTGAAGTTGTGATCCTGTGGAAGGTGTAGCGGGAGTAGCAGGAGTCCCGGGATGCTGTTGCTGGTGTTGCTGCTGAGGTTGATGTGGTTGCGGCTGTAGTTGAGCCTGAGGTTGAGCCTGAGGTTGGACCTGAGGCTGCTGCTGTTGCGGTTGCTGTTGTGGCTGCTGCTGTTGCTGCGGCTGTCCGGCGGGGACCGTTGCGCGGGAGGCTGCCAGTTGCTGGCTCTTCGCTGCGTCCATCGCTGCATTCACAGACGCGGTTGCTGCTTGCATAGGGTGGGTAGGTTGGTTCTGCATGGGCTGTGGTCGACCCTGTTGGGCACTCGGCCCCGACGCTCCCACATTTTGAGACGCCTTCATCTGTCCGCGAACACTTTCGAGGAACCGTTGTGCCTCTACGTACGTCTTCTGATCTTGGGTTTTGCTTTCCTGATACTTCCTGAGCTCCTCCGGAGTCATTGCGCCCTTCTCTTGTCGCTCTTTTACCATGGCCTCCATCCTAGTCATTTTCGACTTAATAGCTTCCATCTGCATAAGATTCCGAAGATACCGCTGTTTCATTTCGCCCAACCATTTCTGGCCCTGTTCCGGCGTTATCTGGGGCGGTATCCGCAGAGCTTGCCATGGAAGCTTGTTTACATGATCCATAAGAGCCTTAGGCACACCCTGAGGGGCCTGCTGCCCGACTGGAGTGGCATTGGGCGCGGCAGCACTAGGAGTTGCGACATTACTACTCGGCCCTGCTCCCGCTGGCCTACTCGCCGGTCGTTGGGGTGCAGCCAAGCTGCTCTGAGCTTGCTCACTCTGTATATTTTGCTGCTGTGGATTGGGCCGACCTGGTTGGTCCTGAGAATTTGCTTGATTTCTTGCTTGTATAGTTTTGACTTTATTATAAACCATTCGAGAGAACTCGGCGACTTTGGCTTTGGCTTCTTGATGCTCTCGAGTCTCTGGTCCGTGCTGTTCCATCTTTGTGTATAGTCCTTGAAGCCCATTTTCGTACTTTCGTTTCTCGTCATCGGTGAGGTAATTGATCGTTCGCATCTGCTCCGGTCGGAGAAGTCGCAACATGTTCTGCCCTTGGGCAGGTTGCCCCTGAGCTGGATTCATCCTTTACGTTATAGTTGACAGTGCAGGTCGTGTACCTCAATAATTGATGGAGACAGCTAGAAGCGGTTAGGGAAGATTGGTAGAACTATTGTATTATTGTATTGAATTGAACTGGGTCGGTGTAAGGAACGTGATTCTTCGTTGGCAGGCGATGAGCTTCTTCACAAATTAGGTAGATACGGAGGAAATGAATAGAAGATGGAGGGGTTCTGCCTGATTAAAGAGAAGCTTGATGAAAGTTGCATGGACGCGTCGAAAGCCTCTAGGCTATGAGTAATAAGGTTGTGTGGCGTAAGCTACAGAGCTGTGGCACGGGCTGAACGGGCCGTCAGATATGTTAACAGTCACGTGTCTAGCGCATACTACGTTAGGTACATATATACCTAGGTATACATGAATCATGCACATTATCGTTAATACGAATCCAAGGTTTCTTGCTATCTCAACAGGTATTAACCTGCAAAGATTCTACTCTTGTTCATATTTCGGAAGTAGTAACTAATGGCCTATAATAGTGATTAGTTTCTTTACATACTTGTAACCTACTTGAGTACCAGATAGTTATATAAGTTGGTTATTTATTAAGCAGCAGCTAACTTATTTACTCTATTATTTCTTTACCTTACAGGAACATATAATATTCTAAATAGTCGGGTTGGAAAAAGAATTCGTGGAGATCCTATAAATACCTTGGGCAATTAAGCCATAGATGATGAACTGACATTCAAAAGATAATCCGCATCTTCTTAAAATATCAAGCGTTCCACAAGCTATCTAGTAACCAAGCAGCCGTAGTATACACCGCAGATATCCTAAGCCAAGGCTGATAAGTCTACTCGAGCCACCAATCATCAATGCATCCAAAGTCTATATGCTATAAATAAAAGAGCGCGGCCTAGTTCTCCTTCTAAGCGGCCGCTTCTATGCAAGTATCGTCGACATCGTCATCGTCATCGTCATATCGTCTGCATCATGGGCGTCATTGTCGTCATCGCCTAGTCGCTCCCAATCCATCCGCTGAGTCCGAGTCTAAGGTATCTAAAAGCGAGATGAGAAATAAACAACATAAAAAGCTGAGCCCTCCGTAATGGTCTCCCAGGCCATGTAGCCAATGTTCTATGCAAGTAATTTCAATACAAATTGCTGCGATGATAACTCCCACGATTCCTAAATTATCTGGTCCCGTCGCGAACCAATCGCTGTAGCATTTTCTTGGGGGTTTTTTTTCCTTTTGGTTCACTAAGCCTGTTGCAACAGTCAGGTTCCATGACAACTGGCGGGGTGTCAACATCAATGCGTCCAAATTCGTGAAATATCATATAATCGTAAGTTTCAATGTTGCAAGTGAATCGGGTTGGGTCTAATTTCTGCTCCTCGAAGCAAATGTGACACTATATTTTTGTAACGTATGAAGTTGGTCTTATTCGGAATCAACGTCCATTAGAGTCCAATATGGTAGCTCTCTTGCGAAGATCTCGGCATCATCTAAAATGATTTCGTCATCGCTGTTCGGCTCTTTGAGCTCCTCAATTCGTTCGGGAAGCGGACCCGTGAATTGGATACTAATTCGATCACCAACTTTTCGCCGCATCCGACGGGTTGGGCCCGTCTCGTTCCCTTCATAGTAAGGAAGAACGTCCTCTCTATCAGAATCACTGCCTCGCTCGCTTACTGTTCGCTTGCTGAGACTTCCGGACTTCATCCTTCTAAGGCGGCGTTCCTCGCGCGTTTTTTGGAGTTGCCGGATGAACTCTTCATCATCGCGGTCGATGTCTCCATCTGAGTCTTCGAAAGTGTTTAAGTTCTCGATACCTTCCATCACAGCCGGATCCATGTCCGGTGGAGGCCGGGGTCGGGATCTTGATCTTGACCGACTCCGATCCGAATTCGCATACTCAAAAGCATACGGCCGAATAACGTCCAGATGGTCATACTCGGTGTTAAGCGAACAGTCATCGCTTAGCTCTTCGATAGAAAATGTTGCTTGCTCGATTTGGATCAAAGTTGCCTGCTCCATGTGTTGGTGGCGCAGCTTTGGTACGTCCGACAGTGGCGACTGCGGGGGGCTTGCAGATGAATCAGATTCTTCATCGGATGAATGTGAGGAACGAGGTGATATCTCCTCGGGCCTCGGCGCTCGAGTATAGCTGAATTTAGTCCCACCCAGCGGCCGGATGTTAGCTGGGTGATCTTGGCGGCTGTGAGCCTTTGAATGCCGCTGCGGGCGGCCGTTTAATGATGCTTTTTTGCGGTGGACCTTGGGAGATCCAGTGGTGGGCGTCTCTGGCGGTGAAGTAGGTCCTGCGGCCGCGGCTACTACGTGAGCAGTGTCCAGAGAGGGTGTGTGTGGCCGCATGGTGTCGGCTTCGTGTGGGAGAGCTTCCCGCCCGAGAATTTGCGTCTTCCCTTGTCTTGCGTGATCTTATCGATGCAATTGACCTTTTAATCTGACAATGTGGGGTAGAATTCGCGGGGGAGATAAAGGCGAACGAGAGACTTTTAAGGCGTCAGCACCCAGAGCAAAAACCTCCAACGCGGAGAAGTTATTGGACTCCGGTAACTGGTCATGTTAATCTCCTGGGAATTCTAGAAGGTCAGGGGGGGCCGGACACCGCTACTACAATTCCTCCACAAAGGCGATGGGATTAGAACCGTCTCGCGGAGGTAGAATGCGACTTTACGCTGCAACTTGAAGATTGAGAGTCGACGTGTCAAGACTGGCGGCGTTGACTCTCCCAAGTCTCAAATGGTCCTCATCGGCGACGAAGGACGGTGTCGATAGAAGACAAGAGCGCCACCGAGAAAAGAGAGAAGAAAATTATCCCCTGCTTGAAATGCTTGAAATATCTGTGTAGCGCATAAACCCTCTTGTGGAGCTCCAGGAGTCAAGTCGCCTGGGTCGGAGGGCTGAGAAACCCAGAGAAAAGATTCTGCGGGAACTTTCTAAAGGTTGGGAACTTATTCCAGATGGGGAGACAAGGTCTGACGGCTTGTATTTCTGTCGTCTAAGCTCTGCTACGTATGAGAGAGAAATCTCATGTATGCAGAGACCGAGAGGGGGAACAATTGTATTGGGGGCGGGCCTACCAACAGTCTTATAGTACCTAGCAAATACATACGCAAGTCTGCCATCCATGTAATAATAAGGTTGTGAACATAAAGGTATACCTGAGCCAGGCTAAGATTGCGGACTCCCGGGCAGGGCAGAGTAGAAGAAAACGGGTCTAGCTACTCGTCTACTAGCCTATGGCGGAGAATCTCGCTGAGATTGCGGCTTGGGCACCAATGCTCCCAGGAGTCCCTGGTTACTTTTCGTTGGGAGGCATAGCGTGTCCAGAAAAAATGCGACATGTATTCAACGTGCGGCATGAAGCATGAGGCATGAGGTATGAGGCATATAGTAAATAAAAAGAAAGCGAAGAATCTCAAGATGGTATCAAACCGACGTTGTGGCAGGACGTCATATCATCAGTCAGAATATGAGAATATGACCCAGGAAGTAGGGTAGGTCAAGTTACTGAATTGTTCAGCCGATCCTGTTAGACCCCGGACGCTGACCGAAAAAGCATTCGCTCACAAAACTGGTTAACACTGGTTAACAACTACTTTAACAAAGCACTGTATGTATGTACGTATGCGAATAGGCATGTCCCGCCTAGACGTATCAGGGCTTCGACCGAGAGCCCTGGGGCTACGGTAGAGGTTGTACGGGTTGTACGAGGGAAGATCAAAAATAGACCAGGGGGTCAGGTAGTAGCGCTCATGCCACTTATGCCACTCGATTATGCCCAATGATCTTAAGCCTTGCCTCCTGCGGATAGGAAAGAAGAGAAGAGACGTAGCCATAGTGGACGTGGTGGAGATGGGAAAAATTCACTGCTTGGCTGTTGATGAGGTCAGGGATACCCCAAGCCTGCAGGGCCTGCAAGTAATATAATGCCAATGTGTCGTAACTTTCTTATTATCCCTCCTTTCACAATGCGTGGTGCTGTTGTCAGGTGGCGATCCGACGCTGCGGTGACTTGTATGATTTGGGGAGAGAATGGAACAAGTTCATCCCGCAAGTCATTATAACCATCGTCCCTTTGCTCGTTGAAAAGCAGTAAACACTTGTTACTTGTCGCAGCTTATTAGACCTGCCCTACTAAGGCAGAATGGGGATTAAGCCCGGCGGCGTGGGAAACTGGGGCGGGTATGCACTATGTAGCATATAGCAGCTTTAAACCCCCAATTCGCCAGAGACCGAACAATTGAGAAAAGGTTATTGTTGACAAAAGAATTATATTATTTACCTACCTAGGTTAGGTAGTCTATGATGAAAAATAGTGTTGGAGTTAGAATTTGACGAGCGACCTATGCAATCAATACCTGAGGTAAGTACCTACCTGGGTAGCACAAAGCCACATGGTGGGGGACTGTGGCGCTGATACATAAGCGGTAGGAGGGGTCAACAATCAAGAAGGTACCTACATGTAACATTGAAATCGCGTATTTACCTGAAGTTCAACTCGCAATCTCTATCTGACACATTTATTTTGTTTTGTCGTCCCTATTTTATTTCACCGTTTAGACAATTTGTAAATACCATTCAAACAGTCATTTATTTAGTCCTTCTATTACCTTTCAATAACCCACAGCCACTCATGATAACCGCCTAATTTCTTACTGTGTAAACGCGTCCCATTATGTCGCTTCTCTCGGCACATTTTGAGCAGATTGCTATCTCGTGTCAAGGAATCGATAGTCTCCCGTACGTATATGTACTTCTCATAATACCCCGATTCGTGCTCCTAGCCACACAGCTAAAGCTAATGAGCACATCAAATAAGTTTCCCGCCGCCCAAGATATTCACCAATGCCCTTCTAGCCAACCATGACATCACATCCCTAATTCGCGACACGGAAGCGCACGAACGAGCACTCTTCTCTGTTCCACCCCCGCCGCCGCCATCCACATCCCAGAACCCGGATCCTCCGAAACAATCCGGGCGTCGGCAGACTGTTTTCAATGTAGCATCCGGTGAAGTCACGACATCTGGTAGCAGCACAGGTCGAAATGTAGGCGCCCCGCGACGCCACACAGCCGTAGCAGCTGTATTAGGCGGTGACCTACACGAGCAGATTCGCCGGAGCGAGCGACGTAGCGGAAGGGAGGACGTCGATGTCGAAATTCTACTCAGGGGAGCGGAGAAGTTATGCGGCGTTTACCCTTTACCGGGTGCTCTGGAACGGATAGCAGCGCAACGATCAAAATACGCACATAGTCGTAGCACGCTGGCATATTATGAGGCGAAAGTAGCTGAACAGGCCGAGGCTCTAGGGAGGATGAATAAGGAGCATTGGATGGAGGAAGAGGAAGATGAAGATGAAGAGGCCGCCACGATGGAGAAAGAAGAGATCTTAACGGAGGACGACCTGAAAAGGGAAGAAGAGCAAATTCAGGAATTAGAGCGAAGAAAGAGAGAATTACAGGGGAGGTTGAAGACGATAGAGGAAGACCTCGGCGGGTTACTGAACCTGTAATACATAACCCCTTCAGACTATGATACCCCTAACCATCTACCTAATACAGTTAAACGCCAACTACCATCCTACGACAGGCCCGACGAACAGGTCCCACGTCGTTTCAAATCCCCTCCTTCGCTCTTGAGAACGCTTCCAAGAAAGTCTGGGGGTCTTCTGCTCCGCCAACCTCGTATTTACCTTGAATTGTGAAATGTGGCACGCCATGTATATTCTTCGCATACGCCTCCTGGACTTCCTCGTCGACTTCCTTGCCGCCTTTACCCGTTTCAAGCCAATCTTTCACCTCCGCCTTGTCCAGGCCGGCCTTCTCAGCTGCATCGATCAGCGTATCATGCGACGTTATGTCCCCCTCGCCCTCGAAATATGACTTGAACAGCTCCAGCACGACGCGGTTCTCGACGTCATTGCCCTTCGCCTTGCCAAACTGGATCAGACGATGCGAGTCCCGTGTGTTACCAATCTTGCTCTTAAAACTGAAGTTGATGCCCTCCTCACGCCCCAACAGCTCCAGGCGTATTTTCATGGCTTCGAATTTGTCTGGGCCGAAGCGCTGAGTCATGCGCTCGACAAGCGGAATGCCCTTCTTAGGCGAAGTCGGGTCCAAATAGAACGGGGACCAGGATACCGTGAAAGTATCATCCTTGCCGTCGGGATACGTCTTGCGGTATAAGTCGATAGCTCGGTCCAGGCGCTTCTTGCCGATGTAACACTACATATCAAAACACTTTAGTATTCTACCGTTGAGCCGTTGTAGAAGCGACTTACCCATGGGCAGACGGTGTCCGATACTATCTTGATGCTGATATTAGTCATGGCGTATTACAAAAGCCTTACTCCGAGGATATGATATATAATTCGAATGAGAGAACTCTGGGAATAGGTTATAACGTAATAGAATATAGCTTGACAATTGGACCGTAGAGAAGCACAAACTGATACGTACTTATATCTAATGACATTATGAAGCTAAACGGGGTAGGAAGGCCGAGGCCGAGCTATATGGATCAAGCGGGCTTCAATTCGCTGACAAATCGGGCTGTCATCGAGACCGGACCGGTATTGTATTTGCCCCGCTCTCCCGTGAGGCGCCGGCTAAGCGTGCCGTCCTAGTCCATTCTAGAATGCAAATGTGTTACTAGAGGGCCTAAGCGCCTGGCGGTCCCTCTTTGCTACGTTTAGAGGGAATTAAAAATCTGGGATAGATCAAAATTTTGGGATAAGACTTACTTTATTTTTATATGATGTTTATATATAATTTTATAGATTTTAACGGGTTTTTATTTTGTAATTATTAAGTAATTAATTAATAAGGCTTTTTTTAACGTAAATTTTATAATAATTATAAAGTATGATTATTATAAGTTTTTTAATAGGTTTATAAGTGTTAAATTAATATATTTTAAATTTAATTATTGTTAATTATTTGATAAATTACGAGTAATATTACGTATTTTAAAACATATTATTATATGTGATATTATTTTTTATACGTTTAAGTTTAAAACTTTTATATATTATTAATTATAAACTTTTTAAAAAAGCCTTTTAAATATTAAGTTTATTATTTTTTAAGGTTATTTGTTAAAGTTTACCGAGGTTAAAAATAACGTATTAACTTTATATATTTATTTCTTTTAATAAAGTAAATTTTTAATCGATAAGTATTTTATACGTAACGTTATTAACAAGTTATTAATTTAAAGGATTCCGTTAAATAATTTAATTAATAATAATTAAATGATTTATTAATAAAAAGATCGGTTTAAGATTTATATAATAAAAATAACTTTAATAAACATTAAGTAATTTAACGTATAATAATAAATCGAGTATATAATTATTTATTTTACGTTATATAAAAATATAATTATCGAATATTAAATTAAGCTTTTTAATAATTAAAATGTTAATAAAAGTGGTATATAAATCGGTTATATTATAAGTAATTAAAAGGTTACCGTTATAAATATAATAAAAAATGTATAAATTAAAACCGTTAATTATATAAATAAAAAGTTAAAGATTATTATAAACAGTGGTTTAGTTTTTAACTGCGTTATTTTATTATATATTATATTTAAAATTTAATTTAATTTAAATTAGTTTAATTATAATATTAATAATAATATATGTTTTATACGGTTAAATAATGGATTTTTAACGTTAAAGATATAATTTAATTATTTAAAACACTTTAATCGCTATTTTTTCGAGTAATTATTAACGTTTAAATTAAAGGTTATATACTTTAAAATAAGTAAAAAATTATCGTTATAAAAATAATTTAACGTTAATAAATATAATAAAACGTTTAATGGTTATATAAACATTTTTAAATAAAAAAGAAATATAATAAGATATTTAAGTTTATTATTAATTTAAAAGCTATTAATTTTAAATAATTTTTTAAATTATATTAACGTTAAAGTTAAAAAATATTATTTATAATATTATATTATATTATTATTTTTACCGTTTTATGTAACGTATTTATTATAATTATTAAATTTAATAATTTTTAAAGTTATAAAAATGAAATATTAAAAGGTTTTATAAAAGTATTTACGTTATAACGAAATAACTTTTATAAGGTTTAATTTTATTAAAAATTTAAATTATATTTATTATAATAAATTTATAATAAAAAATTTTATGTAAGGTTTTAAATTAATAAATTATTACTTTTATAATCTTAAAATTATATTAAATAAATTTAAATTAAAATTAATTAATTAAAGGATTTTCGTTATATTAAAGTTATTACTTAATGTTAATAAATATATTTTAATAAAAAAGTTAATAATGTATATTAAAAATAAGTTTATTAATATTATTAATTTATTATTATTAATATTAATTTAAAACCATTTTAAACGTTTAATTTAAATGTTTAAAAATGTTATTATATTAAAGTAAGTTAATAATTAAATGTTTTATAAAGTATTAACTTATAAAAAGGTTTTTTTTTAATAAAAAAAAACGTTAATTTATAAAGTTTAACAGGTAGCGATTTATTAATATTAAATATGTTAAACTTATTAAAAAGCATTATTTTTAAAACGAGGCCGAGTAGGTTAAAATAAGACGTAAATAATTAATACATTTACGCCGTTAAAAGAAACGTTAAAAAAAAGAGTATTATGTTAAGTGGCGTATTATTAAAAAGGAGTGGCGTTAAATAAAAAAAAGGTATTATATATTTATAAATTAAATAAGGTTATTTAAAGGATTTAATAGTTATATTACTTGTAATAATAAAAATTATCTTTTTTAAAAAATGGATTTTAATAATAAAAAAAGGTATAAATTTAATTTATTTATTATTAATATAAACCTTATATTTATTTTTAAATAGGTTAAATATTAAGTAAAGCCTTTATTTAACTTTATTATAAAAATGTATTTATTATTATTAATAATTAAAAAAGATATATTTATTATTTTAAATTATTTAAATGTTTTATTAACGGTTAAAAATAATTAAAATAATTAAAATAAATTTAATTTAATAATAAACGTATTAAATAATAAAAATAATAATATTAACGAAAATAAAAGTAATAATATAAAATTAAAAATAATAAATAAAAATAAAATTTTTAACAATTTTTTTAAGTTTTTTACGTAATTTTAATATTTAATATAACGCCGACGAAATTTACGATTTTTTTTATTTATTTTATATTTTAATTTTATTAATTATTTAATAATTATAAAGTAAAAATTTGTTAAAGTTTATAAAATTATATATGGGCGTTATATAAAAGTAAAATGGGTTTTATTTTAGAATTTTGGTTTATCCCAGATTTTTGGTTTTTTTTAAGCGTAGCGAAGAGGGACCGCTAAGCGCTTGGGCCCTCTAGTACATTGCTTCCTGCCTCCCTGTAAGGGCAAGGTAAGTACCAATCCTTCGGGTTGAGATTTGATTCGCATACGTAAGTGCTAAGAACTAAAAAGAGGGAAACATGTAGTTACATAACTATTTAATATTTGATAATATGCTTACAAACAGGACTCGATGAATAAAGCTCTTTTATATATATCACGGCTCTGTTAATAACTGTATCAGTGGTTTAGCTTTGAATCAAGTTAAAGGTTGTATTATTTTAATAGATCCATGTTTTTATTATTGATTCACATTCGTACAGTCCTATACATATAGTTATACTAATATATAATTGTGAATAGAAGAAATATATGTAACTATTTAGTAACGGGTAACGAAGAGAAGTTACCTAGTTGATCGGGTTAAATATAATTGTGCAGCATTGTAGTGGATATGTACGTTGCTCAATCAACTCTGATTGACTGAGTCTTCCGCATCATTCTCAAAACGGTACATTTCGAGCCCTTTTAAAGTCTTGATTTGTTGATATAGTTAAGTGGAGTGTGTACATGTAGATTGAGACCACCCATAGTCGCTCTCTAGTTCGATCGGCTCTTCCAGGGTATTATCAACATTCAATAACATTTCTAATTAGTTATACACGGCTTTATAATCCTTTGAGCCAACTCACTTCGGTTTCCTGGAGACACATCATGTAATCCGAAAAACTGGGATCGATACTCATACCTCATTAATGCCTTCAAATACTAGACAACCACTTGTCGACTTCTTCAACGATACGCGGCGCTTTATCATCCCACGCATGGTTGGCTCCTTCGACCCTAACTTGCCTTAGGACATTCCGAGCATTCTTACTCCCTAGAATCTGAGTCCACATGCCATAGAAGACGCCTTCCCACTGGCCTGTGACGGTAAGCACTCCGGCCACCTCTGGTTCGCGACCTTGGAACTCGCCGGGAAGATTTTCCCACCCGTGGCCCTGTACTAGTGCCTCGACCGAGCGGAAGTAGGAACCCGACTTGTGAAAGGCGATGAGGGGGTTGAGTTCTATTGGATATGATATGAGGATGTAGTGAGCGGGAGCGAATTGGGGAAATGACAGCGGGGGACGACTGCATCCGGCGAATATGGCGCCTGCTGAGTAGCCCTGAACTTATGTGAGCTTTATTATAAAATCAATATAGGGGGTGCACTAGTGGTCTATACGCATAAGAATAACTGAGCCCCTTGTGTATCAGGGAAATCTTCTACATATTGAGTCATGGACTCCCGAAGCATTCGCTATAAGTTTGAAAAGGGTTTGATTAGTTACGTCTCATATATCATGCCACGGAGCAATAGGGGGGAATGGACTCAGGGAAGTGTTACGTGGTAGTCATTGATCCCAGCGTCTCCTATCCAGACGCCAAAGTCAGTCCACTCATTCCCTCCCCCACTCCGACCTATTCCGCGGGCGTTCCATGTGACGACTCTTAACTGTTTCTTATCCCTTAGATATTCGGCGAGAAGGCGAACTGGCGGTTGGTCAAAGTTTCCACCGAGACGGCCATGTGCTATGAGAGCAAGACCCTTTGGGGATTTTCCGTTCTGTGGATCTTCAACTCTAGTCTCGAGTTGGACTATGTCATGAGACGGTCCTTGACCCATGGTGACCGTTCCGGTGAGTTTTTATATTATTTCCTTTCTTTTTTCGGTAATAAAGAGAGGTCCGAGAGAGGCTCGGAAAGCTTTAAGAGGGGGGTTAAGATTGATTTGCGAGCTGCTTCATAACCTAAACGGACGTCTCACTTCCTTTTTAATATATTCGGGTTGGTGCAGCAAGGGAAGCGTTTGCACAGTAGATATTCTATTTTGAAATTGCTGCTTATTATCCGGCCTGGTTACCATGCGTTTTCAATGTCGTTCAGCTGTTTAATATAATTGATATACAGAATTCCTTCATAAATATTTAGTGATTCCTTTCTAATTGTTATAAACCACCTTAGCGCTAACCATTCGTAGCAGGGAAATGTGGAAGTATATAGGTAAGTATTAGTGAGTTTCGACTGGATGTATGAGATGAGATGGATGGAAGTGTTTCTTTGTTGATAATTGATAATGAATTATCGCGACGAACCGTGTTACCTCTATGTAATAGGTTAATTGCAATAACCTTTATATGAATGATTGTTTAATTGCACGCCGAATCTTACCCCTCCTTCACCTCGGTGAGCTTTCTAGCTTCCCGCCTCCCCCGCCTTCGATGGTCCATGCTCCTAATTTTTCTGCTTGCGAGCTGCCAATAGGTGCCCACCAAGGCACAACAAGAGACTAACTATCGGGACTGCCCGGCGATTTGACCTAGTCTACTTCCACTCATAATGCGCTGAAGGGCGTTGCACGATAGACACAATATGTCAGCCATGTCAGCCAAAGGAAAAGAAGCGGTCGCCCAGTACGATACAAAGATATACCCCACCAGCTGGATTTGCTGTTACTGACAAGGTTGAATCTGCGATATAGAAAGGATGTTGGCGCGACCACGAACCCGAGAGGAATACCCCAGGCGCCGTTCGTTGATAAAGTCGAAGACTATATCACCTCAAGAGACGATGTCCAGTCTACGCTACGCAGCTTCCAGGAGATGATCTCGTATGTCTATATATTGTCTACCTAGACGAGGCACACACCTCACACCACAGCCATTCTACAGCCATTCGCCGTGCCGTGTTAACATCTCGAGGCCATTTTGCTTTCTACGCAGGACATCTGCTGACACCAACGCTTGGATATAGTAAATATCAATTTATGGAACTGAATTTGCAAAGGAGGGTAGCTGGACTAAAAGACAAGATGCCCGATATACAAAAGACTCTAGAAACAGTCAAGTTCCTGAAGACAAGGACGGTAGGCTAGCCTTAATGTTAACTCAACTCGGCTAGGGACCTTGGACTGATATAACGTTGTTGTTGTAGGAGGAATCGGACCCGATCGAGACAACGTTTGAGCTTAACGACACTTTATATGCGAAAGCGTCCATACCCCCTACTGAAGAGGTGTACTTATGGCTTGGTGTACGTTGAGGCGTTAAGACGTAATGCCTGTTATACCGAACAAGAATCTGAGCGCCCAGTTCACTAACGAGATTGTTGTATAGGCAAATGTAATGCTGGCATATCCCGTCGACGAGGCCGAGACCCTTTTAACGTCGAAATTAGCGGCTGCAAAGCAGAGCTACGCCAATTGCGAGGAAGACCTGGATTTCTTAAGAGAGCAGATTACAGTACGTGTCCTGCTTGGTCTTGTTCACCGTCTTGGAAGCCTCCGATGGGCAGGCAGCTAACTTGGAACTAGACTATGGAGGTTGCAGTAGCACGAGTGTACAACTGGGAAGTTGTTCAGAAGCGAAAAGAAAAGGCAGACGAGGAACGGAAAGGGAAAGGGACTGAGGACGGTGATGAGCAGCCAAACGGATGAAGGGCTACAGGGTCAGTTGCAAGCTGTTAGGTCGGCCGACTAAACAAGACATACTAGGCACCATCTTTACCAATAAGACCTCCTGCCTTTTTACCATATCCCAAGCGAAAGGTTGATGGGAATGTATGTGGGTTTAATCTTATTGTCTACTCGTGCCCGCGTGTTGATAACACACAATATGACAATTCTTTCCGACCTAAAGATGAGAATGGCAATTCGCTACTTACGTTGTTCTCATCGAATCTATAAACTTACCTTATTTTCCCTAATGTTGTTTGACTTTAGGTTACGTATACTTTTTGGTAGTTCTATTAGTTTGTCATGCGAAGTGTGCATATAATCAAATGCCAGTATGGAAAAGGCTATTGAAAGTACCCAAGGGACGCGTATACAGTCCATAGGTAGTGGATAATGGGTAGAGATATAAGAGATAAAAGGGGGAAGAAACTAACTTGACCCCTAAAATCTCCTAGGTTAAATGGTACCTATGTACCTAAGATACCTACATGTAATGTACCTAGGTAGTCGGCAGGCGGCAGGCGGCAGGCCACTACAAGGAAGCGTGATTAAAGTTTGGGTAAGTTTGGTCAAGCTTGGGTCCCCAGATCTCACCGCTGCGCACCAATGACGATGTCCCACTTGGACATGCCCGCAATCTAGCGCCGCCACTCTTTTTTTCCCAATGATTATAATTTTGTACGGTAATCCATACCTGACCTAGAAAATTACCTTAGTGCCTACCGGTTTACCATATGTACCTCTATCGAGTTACGGTCTAACAGCGAAGCGGCCCCCTGACTTTTTTATTATTATTACTACTTACGGATAGGCCAACAAAGCCAGCTTATCCACTTACATAAACTCCCCTATCGACAACCTCCAGTCCCCTAAAACATTCTTAACGACACTTGTCGGTCTCATCTTGTCAACACACCTTCCTTCCTCCTTCAAACTTCATACTTCATACTTCTAACCCTTTTTTTACTCGCATTGTCTGGATAAACGGTCTGCCGCATTACCCAATTAGGAACTTTCCACTTTAAAGAGCTCGATTTCTTAGGAAATCGACGCATTCGCCACGTTCATCATGGAGCTGAATCCCAAGTACGACCACTATGACTTCCCTACAACCGCTCCCGTAGCGAAACCAGGCCATCCAGGCCACTTGACCGAGGCCCAGCAAGCTCAGGTTCACCAGCTACGCATGCTGCTCGAGGCTGAAGGTTATACTAAGAGGCTGGATACCCTGACATTGGTACGTGTCCTACTAAGTACTACATTTGGAGGGGGGGTGGTAAAATAGCTATGATCTCGAATATATGGGAATGCACATGTTACATGTTGACACAGCTAACACTCTTCGAAATATAGTTGCGTTTCCTGCGAGCTCGAAAGTTTGACGTCAACTTAGCCAAGAAAATGTGAGCGACCCGAGCCAAGGCTGCGAAAGATGTCCCAAAGCAGAGAAACATAGTTGAGAATGATGGACTGACCCCGGTAACCAGGTTCGTCGACACTGAAAATTGGCGGAAGACTCTCCTGTACACCGGACAGCCCCTTAAGATCGACGGTCGGACTATCAATCTCGACGAGGAGATAGGCGAGTGGGACAAAGACGGGTCCTTCAAGCAGAAGGTGTCAAAGTATTACCCTCAGTACTACCACAAGACAGATAAGGTAAGAGAAATGACTCTTCTATGTTATCTCGTAAAGATGAGCCATGACGAGCTTTCGTACTAATATACCTATCTCGATAGGACGGCCGACCGGTGTACATCGAACAACTTGGCAAGATTGATCTTACTGCTATGAAGAATGAAGGTATCGAGTATGAGCACATGCTGGTCAACTTGGCTGTTGAATACGAGAAAATGGCGGACCCTCGACTACCCGCTTGTTCGCGCAAGGCCGGCCAACTACTTGAGACTTCTTGCACCATCATGGATTTCAACGGCGTCGGCTTCGGCAATGCGCGTCAAGTTTTTGGCTACATCCAGGAAGCGTCCGGTATGAGTCAAAACTATTACCCGGAACGTCTTGGCCGCATGTACCTCATCAACACCAACTGGCTGTTTACTGGCGTGTGGCGTATGATCCGCCCTCTGCTCGACCCCGTTACCGTTGAGAAGATCAACGTCCTAGGCGGTAACTACCAAAAGGAACTCCTGAGCCAGATCCCTGCGGAAAACCTCCCTAAGGAATTCGGCGGTACTTGCCAATGCGAGGGCGGTTGCCATTTCAGTAACGCGGGCCCCTGGAATGACCCTGAGTTCGCGAAGCCTGCCTGGTGGGAGAAGAAAGATGAAGTGATTGAGAACAGGCCAACGGAGATCGGCCACGGTGCAGGTGCCGCCGGTGCTGGTGATGCTACCGCCGTGGAGGGAGCCGAAGCTACAGCACCTGCCCCGGCCGCCGCTTGAAGGAAACATAAGGTTGCATTTGTATACAAAAGGGAGAGCATAAGTTCAGACGAAGCGGGGAGTCAGTGGGTTAGGTTAGATAGGATCATCAAGGCACATGAGGAAGTGGCCGCTCAAATTTCTCGATCCGGACGACTTTTAATTCCGGGCAAAATCTTATAATGGCAAATTTCAACCTACGGGCATACGAGCCTTGATAGGGCCTACGTGGTCATCTTCGGAATCGATAGGCATTTCATACACTGATATGACATATTTGCATTTGCACTGCTCTATGGTTCTAGTCTTTCAACTATTCTCGTAAATTATAAATTGTAGTTTCGTGCACTCGAATTGATCTCCTTCAGAGGTATCGATTTGTTGAATTAAGTGGTTATGGTTAAATTTGCGGTGGGGTTAAGCATGGCTTCATTATATTAGAGACCGATGGATTCCCACGTGAAGACGCGATTGGTCCCTTAGGTAGGTAAAGGGGAGCAATCCGAACTTCAGGTGCTACCGCATATCTCGGCACAACCCTCCCGTCTTCCAGTCTCCCCTCGTATGCTTCTCATGCACGTAGGCCAGATACGACGACCATCAACTCCTAGAGCGTAGTCGGAACCCCACCGCCTCTTTCCCTATAAATCAAATATAAAGGGGCAAAAAAGGGGGACGCATTCACCGCTCTGTTACAACATACTCTCCTGCTCCCCGCGCCCTCTCCATCCGCGCCACCACCGACGGCATCTCGCGCTTCAACCTACCCAGCCCCTTAATCGCGTCCTCGTAGCCGCTCTCAACATCATCCTGTCGAGGAAGTCCCTTACTCAGGTCTCCCAGCAACGGCTCACCGCCATCAGCGCCGGCACGCTCATTAACCGCGGCAAGGGCCTGCTCGTCGTCGGCGACGGAGCGGCGCGCCGCTTCGGCCCAGGAGGCAGCTGCGGCGTGCGGGACTGATTTCTTCAAGGCGGCAATGTCCCGTAGCAGATCCTCTTCCTCGCGCGTCAGCTCCTCGAGGCGGGCGCGCTTGCGTGCGTCAAACGGCTCGTAGATTTCCTCGGGCTGCTGCGGGTCGGAAGGACTGCCGGAGAGGTAGTGTGCTGCGTCAACGGGCATGCCATTGATGGAGAGGTTGGGGCCTGCTAGGGTGAATGTTTTGGTGATGTACTGTTTGTAGGTTAGTATTTAGCGTTTGGCCATAAGAGTTGTTGCGTATGAAGTAGACACATGTTAAACGCAATATTAGAGAAGATAAAATATTAAATAAGGATATGTAATAGAATAGGAGAATTTAACGCCAGAATAAAAAAAATAAAAAAATATACAAAATTTAAAAGATGGAATATAAAATTCTTTTTTTTTAAAAAAAAAGAAAAAAACATACAACACCGGGGATTCGCTGGTCGTCACCGACCCAACTACTAATCCGGCGGTATCCGGCTTGTCTAGGGGAGAGCGGACGGGATCCCGAATTTTCCAGATCCTATGGTCGTATGTGATAGTCATATGCATTAATTCCGTTTATATAGGAACACTCCATTGATCTCCCATATTTTACCAAAGCCTCTTTAATTAAATCCGTATACCTACTATACCCGCATACGCAGATGAGAAAGGAAATACGGGAGTGGTAAAATGGAGGGTTAGATTAAAGAAGTACAGATTATGATAGCTGCATGCCGGAAAAAAAAACATAACGGAGAAAAAATAGAAATCTTAACGAAAAAAAAAAAAAATGAAACATACCTCATTGACAAGCTCCTCGATCCTCGTCCGCAATTCGTCACCGTCGGCAGCGGCGCCGCTCGCCCCATCCACCGGCGGAAACGCCTCGTCTAGACGCGCCGCGGCCGCGCGCCGTACATTGGCCAAGAGATATGCCAGGTCATCGGGGGCCTGGAGCTCGATCTTCCGGTGCGCCGCCGAGGCCGAGCCCTCCTCCATTGCAAACGATCTGGGTAAGGAAAAAAAAAGAAATAAAAGGAGAGGGTTTTGCGGTTGTAGTTAGCGGGAAAAAAGCAGGACTTTAAGCCAAGTTAGGTAGGTGGAAGATTGATGATGATGATGATGATGAAAGATGCAGTAGTTAGTTAGTTTGTCCTGTTTCTTTTCCTCGTCGGTATTCTGCTGGAAACGCGAACGGAATTAGAGATAGAGATAGTCAGCCGCAATGCAGATGTGTCCGTGTAGGTATGCCGTGCAGCGATGAGATGCTAGCGATTCCTTTTGATAAATGGTGATTGGCTAATTTGATAGGATAGACCTGTGATGTAAATAGTATTGCAGATGTTTATTTTTGACTCTTGGCGCTTTGAAAGGGCCCCTTACATATAGGTATACAAAGGTACATACACGGGTAGTACAGATTACGCGGGCAGAAAATGTGACAATAGCGGGGTTGGCAAATATCGCATAAGTACATACTCTGATACTACATGTAGTTATTCCCATACAATTTTGTCAACTTATTCATGTACATACCTAACCTAACCTCATATACAATCAAATAGCCTCGTACAACTCAGCTACCCGATTGACCACATACACGCTTGGAAAAGCCTTATAGCTTTGACGGCCCATATGATTTCTCAAGCCCTTCGAGAATCCCATCATACCTCTCTCCCCGGCCCCATTTATGGATATTACTGACCAACATAAGACAGGCCTCATAGTCTTGCGGTCTAGTTAAGATTAAACTCCGGAATAATGCCATTCTGTATGAGGTAAATTTGGCAGGTTCATCCGATATTCCAACCTCACCGGGTATACCCGGTTCCGACCACATGAGGTAGAAGTTTACAAGGGTATACTGTTCTACGGTGGCGTAAATGACGAAACCACGATCTTGAACGATCTTATTATATGTGAATAAGGCCGATGAAGCACTATTAAGGCCCATGTTTATCCTTGTCGATCGATGGCCGCCGCCGAATTGTAGGATGAAATACGGGAAACAAAAGCCATCGTCAGTTGTTAAGAACTCCCCCCTAGCGGTTGCCTCCGGCGCTGTTGACCATAGCCCAGGAATCTTGAACTCGAGGTACCCATAGGCTAAGTCGGGTTTCGGGGCAATAGTTTTGCAATATGAACCTTGCACGGTTTGGTAAACGACCTGTTGATGCCGCCAGTGGCAATGTTGACTAGCAGCAACCGGAGTATCCGGGTTGATAGGTTGGACATCCGTCAAATCCATTCCCAACATATACATTATCGATGCTTGTAGATTTACCATAATAGTGAGACTCTGCGCTGCATCTTTATACCATATATACCTCTTTTTTCTTTCTTCATGCGGGAATATATTTGTGGTAGGTTGTAAGAAGAGTCTCTCCACAGCCTCCTCTACCCATTCGGGGAGATGGAGTGGGAGCTCCATGTGTACACAGTCCGGCCTCGCATACTTAACGTTGCGGGCTCTGCGGGCGGCAGACGAACAGTAACCAGACAGACATTCATCGACTAGGCCATCATCTACCGGGCGCCCCGAACTTAAGGATATATGTGATTGTCTTGGACTTGGGGGTAATAGGCTCGGATCTTGCGGGTTTCGTTCGACATTTCGAAGCCAGTTGTCTACGGAGTTCGAGGTTGATTGTTTATGTGAAAAGTTCTGGCTGGGAGATCCTGGACGCGGGGAGGCGGTAGTTTCTGCCAGCTGTGAAGTAATTTGCTTTGCTGGTACGTCCGAACAAGAGCGTCGTCTTTCGTTAGGCGTAGGATCCATGTCGTCGGATGTTTGACTATGATACCGCTTATTAAATCGGATGCGAATACCATTTGGCGAAAAAGTACTATACGTTGACGACACCTAGCTCGTTTAGATATTAGGAAACCAAAGACTTAGTTGTATGTAATAGTAAAGGAGAGAAGAGGCCACCAGGCTACAGCGAAAATAAAAGCAGGTTTTGTTTATTTCATAATAGTGGCTTGTTCTGCAAAGACATGGGTGGTTAAATGATATATGACAATGCTTCCGTATATCGGGCCACTTAAGCTACATAGTAGTAAAAAATAAAAATAGAAGATTTATAACAGGTAGGTATGTCACCCCTTTACCCTTTTTGTAACAAGTATATATCAACTACCTCATCCTCTTCGCCAACCTTTGGCAGTGGGATAGATTTAAGAACGTTATATCGCCAATCATTGGTAGTCAGCAACTTAAATAAAGCTTGCTCCGAAGAATGACGAGGCTTTGTTGCTAGGATAACAAAAGTCTTTGCACCTTCTTCTACCCCGGGATGATTTAAATTTGCAGCATGTAGCGCGCTCAGCGTCCCGACGAGCGCGGGCAATGAGTCAACATTGTACGTGCAGTCGCTAAGTACAATTAGATCCCACGGGCGAGCAGAAGCAAGAGTCCCGAACTGTCCGTGCTTGCCCTCGTCCCAGTCCAGATCCTCGTACTGAAGAGCCACCGTAGAACCATTGGGATTTATGTGAGAGAGCGCCGCGTTGGCTCTCGATATGTTCGATCTGGCACGCTCTTCCGCCTCCGAGAGGTCTGTTAGTAATACGGTAGCTTTAGTGGACGTATGGCCACGGACTACGGCCTTTTCTATGACTTGCGCCAGGGTGATCCCGAGAATGCCAACACCACTACCAAGCTCCAAGACATTAAAGCTGTCTTCTCGCATAGGCAGCGTGTCGTAGATACCTTCCTTGGTGCTACATGCGTCTCCTAAAAAGGAGGCTGTCACAACGCCTGCGTCCCATATGTGGCGCGCAATGCTCTCACCGATGTCCTCTTCGAGGACAATATCTATTTGGTCCTGGGGCTGAGACCTGGAGTCAAGCTGGAGTGTTCGCACGGCAACGGGGGAGCAGATGCCCTTCGCCATCTCTACGGAAACTGGCATGATGAGACCCTTGCTTGCAGGCGAGCCTCTAGCAACGCTCCACGGAAGCATATCGGTGCCCTTCAACACTCCTAACGGTGGAGTTTGTGTCGCTGGATGAATCCTAATCGTACACGTGACATGGTCCTTCTTAAGATGCGGCTTGATGGGGACTTTGACGTCAAGACATCGCATGCCAGCAGTCCATCTAGACGAGAGACCTGCCTCTAGTATGACTGACTGGCCTGTCGGGTTCTCCACCGAAATAGTCAAGTCGACGGGCTCATCCGGGTAGAGAAATGAGTCACCCAGATCCGTGGTGATGGTAAGAAGGATTGAGATAATTGGTCTCTTGAGGTTTGATGCGTCTAATTTTGGGCCACGCAACAAGCGTATGTAGTGCATCTTGTTGCGATACCGAGCCTTGGGTACGGTAAGTTCAGTCCAATGATTTGTTTATTCGGTAGTATTTGGGTATTTTTGCCTTGGCGACGTGCATCTTTTTCCATGCCCAACATTGCAACGTGCCGTTAAAATATTCACCGCTAGCTACTATGTAGTTAAGCCTAGCATTGGCGTGCATCCGCATGGGATTTTATCGATCGTGATCCACTTCAACCATTGTTGCTAGACGAATATTACGATAGTTTGTAGTTTGTAGTTTGTTGAATGATTGGGAACGCAGCAGAACACAATTGTGCGTCCCGTTATATTGGATTGGAATTGTCTTTTACAGGTCGAAAAGCGGGTCGAGGGTATAAGTATCAACTTATCGGAGGTTAGAGCAGATATACTAATCCGTATGTAAGATGCATATAAGATGCATTACAAGGTTAACGTATCGCCTAACGTTCAGCATAGCATATTGGCAGCTGAATTGGAGGGGCTAGTATATGTACCTACGTACTTAGGTACAATACATGATGTAGCTAGAACTGTTAGATTGGGCTCTTATCTGCAAAATAGACTTCAAACCATTAATCGCAAAGCTGAGTCTACCCCATATATTCGCAAATAGGAACCCGCCCTTAGCTCCGGTTAGTGCCTGATACCTTACTTCGTGCCGAGTTAGTTTGATACTACAATGGCATATGCCGATTTACATAGGGATTCATTCATTAATACTTTCGGGACGATGATCTGTCGAGACGAGAAAGGCTGATGATGAGCAGTGGAATATTCTCTTAAAGGCCCATTACTCGATGCGACATACTAAAATATGCCTACCCATATACCCTCATCTACCTGTACACGTGGCTATGAAACAAGCATTTTAATAGTGTATTGGGTTATTGGGTACCCTACTTCAAGAACCCTACCTCAAGATCGCCACGAGTGCATGTGAATATCTCCGCCCGCATTTACATACTACCTGGTCAATCGCAATTATTCCCTGGAGGCGATCAAAAAGTTCAATGTTGAACGTCACTATTTCGAGTAGTATTTGGCATATTGGTTTAAAAGTTTGCGTATAGTGTAAAAGGTTAGGTACTTACTTAAAGGTTAGGTAAAGGGATTTGTATAAGTTAGTGGATAAGTATAGTTACAATAAAATTATTCAAAAGGTGATGTTAACTAGATGTTATAAGACTCCAGCTCGCACAGTGATATAATTCCTCAAGAACTTAAAATATGTCTCTTACTATATGTATAAGCGCTCTAAACGCTTAGCCGTATCAGTCGCGATAAGCTATTTCAACTTTCCCATCAAGGTAAGAGGGTTGGTCCGATAACGCAATTCGTGGGGTAAAAAAGTGGGATGAATTAACGACAGGTGGGATGTCTACACCGTGCGAGTATACCTAATGGCTTGCTAAGGAGGCAGTCTGCGCAGATACGTAAGGCTATAGATCTAGCTATAGATTTAGATGCATCTCCAGTTACTTGGGATGCTTCAAGGTAGGTATGCGTATGGTTATTCTACCTTAGGTACGGAATAGGTAAGTACTACTTAGTAATATATACATAAAAATATGCCTATCCAGACACGGATCCAATATGAACCAAGAATAGATCCAAACATTGTAGCAATCAAATGCGTAGGCATAGTGGTCGTTTCAGGTGGTCTAAAAATTGATTCTGTTTAATTATGAAATTGATACTCGCAATAGAATTCCTACCTCGGTAATCCACGTGGTGTTTTTCAACGGATGTTTCACTAAGGAGACCCATCATTGTTTAATTTGTTTTACACTTCAGCACCTGCATCTTTTATCCGAGCACCCGTGTGCTATTCAGGTACCTACATGCAATCAAACCTTTTAATTCGAGTATTGATTTTAGATATTTCGCTCCAGATGCGAAATATATCATAGGAGTTAGATAGTCATTTGTCCAGTGTGACAACTATAAGTAATGTATGTAGTCTTTGTATTACCTACGAAGTTGAGAAAGCAACGCCCTTATCTACAAACAATAACCCATTGCTTGTCTGGAGACGTAGAAGAAGGTAGAGGAAAGAATCGGCCGAATCAAATCAAGAGCAACCAGGGAATACCAACGCCGGCCCCAAGTTAAGGGCATTCATGTAATCTTCATGTAGTCATACAATACCCACGAGAACTCCTAAGCCCTCTTAGGCGTGGACATCCCATGTAACGATATTCCCATCCGTCCAAGCTGTTGTAATGTGTGTGAAGTTGATACTTCCAAGCCGCGCCGCGCAATAGGAAATGCCGAGACCGATATCCACAATCCACCCAGGCAATGATATAGCCCGAATCCAGACGCCGAATTATTTGTGAAAATGGTAAAGGTATCCTCGCTAGGATTACGGTTATGTGTATCTAGGAAGAAACGAGGCTCTGTGAGATCGATTGCGGTGACGTTAAAGACAAATCCCATGGGGGGGTCCTCTAGACGGGGTTTACCGGTTACGGTAGCATCCCCTTGATCTCTTCGTCACTAAGTCGAATCTCGTGTACCGGCTCTCTGCGATTTTCTAGAGGTATGTAATGGCATTCGACGTACGACGGAACGAATAGTTCGGGGTTCCATGCGAACCCTTGACTCGAGGCGAGGTATGAGATCTATGTCGAGGGGTATTAGTAAGACGGCCCCTCAGCGGCACTTTCAACAGCGGTAGCATTTTCTTACCAATCGAGGTGCCCCATCAGGATCTCCGATGTTGATAACGGTGCACTCGTCCTTGCAGAAGGCGGAGCCTATATGGCGTAAGTAATGCGGATCTCGGAGGGAGGACACCATCAAGGTGCCCCCATCTATGGTCAATACACCAGGGAGGCAAACATACTCAATAAACTAGGTCGGCGATGGTGATGGATTGATTTCAATTTGCGTGCCGACTGTACTGACGATGCTTCGCTAGGGCTAGGACTAGGAGTTTGTGGAGAGCTTGAATATGAGGAAGATGAGCTAGTTGTAGCCTTGGGGGATTGGTCGTAGGCCGTAGCCGAGGACCGGACAGCCGGGATAGCAATTGTATTAGATGCCATCATCGTAGGATTACAAGACAAGACTTCTCTCTTCTCTATTGAAGACTCTCGGGAGACCCGATCAGCAGTAGTGTATCTTAACACGGACACGGAGGGAGGGCTGCGCAGCCGAAATGATAATAAATAGCAAGGCAAGTCGAAACGCCAGCAGAGAATAACAAGTGACTATGCCAGAGTTTTAAGAGAGAAAGGGAAGAGAAGGAAATTATTAGTGTGAGTGTGCACATTCACTCCGTAAAGCAAGCAACGACGAGGTAAAAAGAAGTGATGTTGAGAGAACCTTGATAATATTCGTGAGGTGGAAAAAAGGGACGAAAGAAGATCTAAGTCAGGTGGTTTAGAGAAGGTGAGAGGCTAGAGGGAGTCTACTCCGTATGTATGTACAGTAGAAGTCGGACAGCGCCTGCATTGATGCGGGAACGGTCATTCGGTACATGTGCTGCTGCTGTAGTGCTATGGCATGTATGTGGTATGTGCTGTGCCTAGGTAGGTTAAGCAATTGCAGATGTACAATACTATGTATGTAATCTAAACGCAGACAAGTGGGCAAGCGGGCAAGCGGGCGAAAGCAGGCTAGAAGGGCTATGATACTGTCCGTACCTCACTGTAAAGCACCTCA